GGAGAGGAAGAACAGACGATGAAGATGATGATGAAGATGATGATGATGATGATGATGATGATGATGATGGTGATGGTGATGATGATGATGGTGATGATGATGGTGATGATGATGATGGTGATGATGATGGTGATGAAGATGATGATGATGATGATGATGAAGATGATGATGATGATGATGATGATGATGATGATGATGATGATGATGATGATGATGATGATGATGATGATGATGATGATGATGATGATGATGATGATGATGAAGATGATGATGATGATGATGATGGTGATGATGATGATGATGATGATGATGGTGATGATGATGATGATGATGATGGTGATGATGATGATGGTGATGATGATGGTGATGAAGATGATGATGATGATGATGATGATGATGATGATGATGATGATGAAGATGATGATGAAGATGATGATGATGATGATGATGATGAAGATGATGATGATGATGAAGATGATGATGAAGATGATGATGATAATGATGATGATGATGATGAAGATGATGATGATGAAGATGATGATGGTGATGATGATGATGATGATGATGATGATGATGATGATGATGAAGATGATCGGACATGAGAACACAAACGTTACAAAGATAACGACCTGAAGGACGACTTGTGGAGAGTCATAGTGTCGTATTTCCCCGATGACGATGGTTTGTGAACTTGAACAGTTTGATAAACGTCTTTGTTTGAACTTTCATCTGTGCTAACGTAACTTTAGCTCTAAGCTAACCTGTTCAGATACAACAGACCATCTGTATTTTCACTGTAAACTCAGTCACAGCTCCATCAGGTCTCTGTTGTTCCCTCACATTTATGGATTATAGTTTCATGTGTTTATCTGGTTCTGACCCGACTCAGTCCATCATGACAGACAGACATCAGAACTGAAAACACTCAGTCTGCTGTCGGATCAGTCTAACACCTGAAGACCGGGACGCGTCTTTTTACCCCAATCACAATCACATCGCGCTTGAAGTGTTCAGTCAGACGCGTCAAAATTCACCTTCCGATATTTCGTAATTCCGTGTCGGATATTTGCGTCGTTCCCGGTGTGTGAGGTTTAGTCTGACCTTGGTTAACCTTGAGCAGAGCACACATGAATGGATGTTTACACGATCATCAGGTGTGTAGGATCAGAGTAAGCCCCGCCCCCTCACCTGTCCTTGCCCAGATGGCAGACTGGTTGCTGAGCCCCCCACTCTGTGTAACCACCACCAGCCTGTAGGGGGCTCCAGGAGTGAGGCCCTGGAAGGAGACCTGTCGGCTGCCGGTGCGAGTTCTGCGCGGCGTCTCCTGCAGCGAGTCGTCGTGTCGGTACAGGAAGATCTCGTAGGGGTCAAATTCTCCGTCAGGTGGAGTCCAGGTGAAGGTCAGACTGGAGGTGGTGTTGGTTTTAATCACAAGGTCAGTGACCGCAGCAGGTCCTGGAACAGGGAGACCACCGTCAGGACTCTGATCAGGTCTGAGTAAAACACGGGTCTAAAAACCTGAGGAGGTCTGAGGTTCGACCCGAGATCATCAGCAGGTCCATCATCTCAGATCAGGTCTGAGTAAAAACACGGAGTCAGGGAAACGGATCTGGGATCCAGGAGAACGTGTGAAAATGTCGTTTTATTCGTCCGTCTTTGTTCTGGTGTAGAAACCTGTCGTCTTCTATCAACCAAGTTTTCACACACACACACACACACACACACACACACACACACACACACACACACACACACACACCCTGGTCTCTGATCAGGTCACTTTAACTCTCAGAAGTCTTCTAACGTAAACAGGAAGTCTTCTAACATAAACAGGAAGTCTTCTAACATAAACAGGAAGTCTTCTAACGTAAACAGGAAGTCTTCTAACATAAACAGGAAGTCTTCTAACGTAAACAGGAAGTCTTCTAACGTAAACAGGAAGTCTTCTAACATAAACAGGAAGTCTTCCAACGTAAACAGGAAGTCTTCTAACATAAACAGGAAGTCTCCTAACATAAACAGGAAGTCTTCCAACGTAAACAGGAAGTCTTCTAACATAAACAGGAAGTCTTCTAACATAAACAGGAAGTCTTACGTGTGCGGGCCTCTGTGCTGACCCCCGGGCTGTGAACCCCTCCACTGCTGGTCTGGACCAGGACTCGGTACTTCTTCCCCGGAGTGAGGTGGTCGAACGTGAAGCTGGTGTGTCCCGAAGGCTGCGAGGCGTTGGCGAGCAGACCTCCTCTGTCGTCGTGGAGCTGCAGCAGGTAACCGTCGGACACGCCCAGAGCTTCCTGCCAGCTCACTTGAAGACGACAGGTGGAGAGCAGGTCCACCACCTGCAGCCCTGTGACAGCTGAGGGGACTGAGACCACAGAGACCATCACACCTGTCCCTCTGTCCTCACACACCATCATCTACAGCAGCACTGGTTCTCAACGGGTGGGTCCAGACCCAGAAGTGGGTCGTGGACATGTTCTGGACGGGTCACGAACAGCTGGTCAAAATATTTGATGTGAATCTGATGTTTGACATGTCTTTTATTTTGAAAAATATCTTATTTTGAAAGGCAGGTGTTACGTCCTGTTTCTTATGATTTATTCGTCTTCATTTGTTTAATTTGTTGTTTCTTCACTTCCGTCCTCCTCAGAGATACACATCAGTCCGTTTTTTTATTTTGCTCTTCTCTATTTTTGGTGATTCGATATTTTCTGCACACGAAACTTCGGCAGTTGTCGTCCTCAGATCATCTGCTCTAAAATAAACGGTGAATTTATGTCAAAGATTTGAGACTTTAGAGGTTTTAATAAAAATAAATAAATTTGTTTGGATTGAATTTTATAAAAGTGGGTCGTGACTGAAGGATCATGGGAAAATGTCGTCCCAGAGTGACACCCGTTGAGAACCACAGTACAGAGAGGCGTACCTGTGCGTCCGGAGGCGGAGCTGTTGTTGTGCAGATTTCCACTGGTGGACTGAACCATCACCTGGTACACCTGTCCGGGCTGCAGGGAGCCGAAGGTCACCTCGCTCTGCTGTTTGAGGACCAGACGGACGTCCAGCCGGCGGCTCTGTCTGAACAGGTAGACCGAGTATCCGTCCACGTCCCCCTGAGCAGGTGTCCAGCTCACCTTCAGGCTGCTGCTGTCCCCGCCGTTACTCACCTGGATGTTCTTCACTTTACTGGGAACTACAGAGGTGGAGGAGGAGGGGAAGGAAGGGGGCGGGGTCAAACACAGCTCAGGTAACCTCCCAGAGGACACCTGTCCAACACACCTGGACTATCTCACCCTGATCATCGGAGACCTCAACCTCTGCTCTGTCACCTGAGAGGACAGGTGAGCTCTTCCTGTTCCCAGTGACCTCACACAGGTGTGCATGTGATTGATCTCACCTGTGCGGCCCTCAATAAACTCCGCCCTCTGGTTAGGGCCGCTGAAGGTGGACACCAGGACCTTGTAGAGGCGTCCAGGTGTGAGCGAGGACAGGACGCACTCCTCCACGCCGCTGCCCAGCGTGACGGGAGGAAACACCTTCATGTCGTTGAAGAGCAGCTGAACCTCGTAGTGATCCACGTCACCTGGAGCCGCCGCCCACCTGACCCGCAGCTCCTCTGTCCCCTGACCCGCCAGGACCAGAGACCGGACCGCTGCTGGGACTGACAAACAGAGACGAGGTGAGACCGTCTGCGGGTCTCAGCCAATCAGAGTTCAGACTGAAGAAGAAACACACCTGGACATTTAACCCCGCCCCCATCCTTTAAATCAGAGTATCTACTCGGTTTACACTCAGACACACCTGTACAGGTGAGTTCACAGGTGAGTTCACAGGTTTTTATCGTATGTTTCAAATGTGTTTGACGTGTTTTTTTTTCCAGGTGTTTTTTTTCCAGGTGTTTTTTTTCAGGTGTTTTTTTTTCCAGGTGTTTTTTTTCCAGGTGTGTGTTTTCAGAATGTTTCAGGTGTGTTTCAGGTGTGTGGCGTGTGTTTGCAGTGTTTAGGGGTTCGTTGCGGGTGTATCCAGGTGTTGTCAGTGTCATAGAGGTCAAAGGTCACTCACAGGTCCTGCCGTGCGTTGACGCAGTGGTCTCGTACTTCCCGCTGCGCGTGGTCACCAGTACGGTGTAGAGTCGCCCGGGCAACAGGCCGTGGAACACGCACTCGCTCTGCGTCTTCAGGACCGTCTGGTTCTGCAGGACCTGGTTGTTGTGTTTGATGAAGACCCGGTACGAGTCCACGTCACCGGACGCCGCACGCCAGTACACCTTCAGGTAATCATCGCGCGCCGAGTGAGAGGCTGTGGGACTCTGGACGGGGGCGGGGCCTGACCGGGGAGGGGGGTAATTAATAAGTGAATACATGAATACATGTACAGAATGAATGAGTGAAATTATCGGGGGAATGACTGAATGGATGAATGAATGAATGAATGAATGACTGAATGGATGAATGGATCAATGAATGAATGACTGAATGGATGCATGAATGACTGAATGGATTAATGAATGACTGAATGGATGAATGAATGAATGAATGACTGAATGGATGAATGAATGAATGAATGAATGGATGAATGAATAAATGACTGAATGGATGAATGAATGACTGAATGGATTAATGAATGACTGAATGGATGAATGAATGAATGAATGGATGAATGAATGAATGGATCAATGAATGAATGAATGAATGGATGAATGAATGGATCAATGAATGAATGAATGACTAAATAAATGAATGAATGGATGAATGGATGAACATCCACATACGTCCTCTCATGGTTTGTCTTGATTTACGACTTTATTTAAAGGTTAATAAATGAATGTTTTAATTATCAAAGAATGACCTGTGAATGAATGAGTGAATTTATGAACTAGTGAGTTTATGAATGAGTGAGTTTATGAATGAGTGAGTTTATGAATGAGTGAATTTATGAACGAGTGAGTTTATGAACGAGTGAGTTTATAAATGAGCGAATTTATGAATGAGTGAGTTAATGAACGAGTGAATTTATGAACGAGTGAGTTTATGAATGAGTGAATTTATGAATGAGTGAGTTAATGAACAAGTGAATTTATGAATGAGTGAGTTAATGAACGAGTGAGTTTATGAATGAGTGAATTTATGAACGAGTGAGTTAATGAACGAGTGAGTTTATGAATGAGTGAATTTATGAACGAGTGAGTTTATGAATGAGTGAATTTATGAATGAGTGAGTTAATGAACGAGTGAGTTTATGAATGAGTGAATTTATGAATGAGTGAGTTAATGAACGTGTGAGTTTATGAACGAGTGAAAGGGCCGGCTCACGTGTCCTCTCCTGGATGTAGGTGGTGTTGAGGGCGGAGCCGCTCCTGGAGCTGATGGAGATGTTGTAGAGGCGTCCTGACACCAGAGAGTTGAACACACACTCGGGGCTGTTCTTAGAGACCGACACGCTGTGGAGAGTTTGCTCACTGTCGCTAAGGGCAACCAGGTAACCCTCCACCTCACCTGCTGCCGGACGCCACGACACGCTCAGGAAGTCAGACCGGCCGTTGTTACTGACCGTCACCTCGCCAACCGCCGCTGGGACTGTGGGAGGAACAGGTGTGATTGACAGGTGAGCGAGTGAATCCACAGATCACACACACACACACACAGTCACACACACACACACACACACACACACACAGTCATACACACACACACACACACACACACACACACACACACACACACACACACACACACACACACACACACACACACACGAGCACACACACACACACACACACACACACACACACACACACACACACACACACACACACACACTCACAGGTCTGACCTTCACTGTTGCAGAAAATGTTCCTCTACTGGTTTAACAATAGAACCGTCCACTTCCTGCTACACACACACACTCACACACACTCACACACACTCACAGACACACACACACACACTCACACACACACACTCCTCTGCTCAGATACAGAACGTTGTTTATGTTTTCTACACTTCCTAAAAAATTCCCGACAAATTCCTGCTTTTCAATAATATCCTGAACACACACACACACACACATACACTGACACACACACACACACACACACACACACACACACTCACAGACACACACACACACACACACAGACACACACACACAGTCAAACACACACACACACACACATACACTGACACACACACACAGACACACACAGACACACTCACAGACACACACACACACACACACAGACACACACACACAGTCAAACACACACACACACACACATACACAGACACACACACTCACACACACTCACAGACACACACACACACACACACACACACACACACACACACTCACAGACACACACACATACACTGACACACACACACACACACAGTTGATTTTCTAACTGAAGTCGGACTCAGGTTTGTGAAAGACCTTAGTGGACCCAGCAGACCAGGTTCTGGAGTCTGAAAGGATGTCGAGAAGTGTCCATGAACCCCAGGTATTTAATCCCCCCTCCCATGTATTTAGGCCCCGCCCCCCGCCTCTCACCTGTGCGTCCCTCTGTGACGCTCTGTCTGGAGGCGTGTCCGGCCCGGTTGGTGGTCAGAACCACCCTGTAGAGCGCTCCTGGTCTCAGGTTGTTGAAGCGGATGCTGGTGGTTTCTGGTTTCAGACTCTGGTTCTTGATGACGCTGCTGTCGTGGACCAGCAGGACGCTGTACGAGTCCACGTCCCCGGACGCCGGTTCCCACGCCACCTGCAGGCTGTCAGTGCTGCCGTCGTTTGAGACTCGCAGGTCCCCCACCTGAGCCGGAGCTGAGGGGACACAACAGGGGTCTACCTGAACCTGGTTTAGGGTGAACAGCTCTGAGAGAAAACTAAAGAACCGATCGATCGATCGATCGATCGAAATGATCGATCGATCGATCGGAATGATCGATCAGACTCCAGACGGATGAGTTGATATGTCTAGAAGACCTTTGACCTTTGACCTTAACCTTGTACCTGCTGACTCGGTCTGATTCTACCTGGTCACTGACGCTCAGACGTACCTGTGCGCGCCGTCACAGAGGCGGAGCTGCTCCGGTTCCCACTGTTGGTCGTCACGGTGATGGCGTACATGCGTCCAGGTGTGAGCAGGTTGAAGGTGCAGTCTGTGGCCCTCCAGGAGAGCAGCCTCTGGTCCAGCAGGGCGGGGGGGTCGGTCTGTCTGAGGACCACCGTGTAACCATCCCACTCACCGCGGGGTTGATTCCAGAGCACGCTCAGAGCGCTCTCATCGGCACGTCTGACGACCAGCTGCTGCACGGGGGCGGGGTCTGCAGAGGAGCGCAGGTTGATCATGTGACTCATGAACGTTTAGAAACTCTAATCTTTCTCCTCGCCGGACCAACAGAAAACATCTACAAATATTCACGCCAACTGACCCAGTCGTCCGTAGCAGGACGCCGTGTTACCCAGAATGCCGCTGTGCGTGGTGACCTGGACCTGGTACAGTCGACCCGGCAGCAGGCCCAGGTTCAGAGCGGAGAAGTGGACCTGCGAGGCGAGTTTTCTGACGGTCAGGTTTGACAGAACCTCAGAACCGTTCCTTAGCAGCACGCCGTAATTCTCCCAGTCTCCTCTAGGGAGCGACCAGCTGACCCTTAAAGCCCCGCCCCCTCTGAGCGCAGACATAGAGAGAGCGGACACCTGGGCAGGTACTGGGACAGAGAGACGAGGCCGGGTTAGAACTCCTGAATTTAAAGATCTGATAAAACTAATAACACTAAAGTGGGCGGAGCCTCGTCTGCACAGCGCCACCAAGATCAAAAACAACAAACAGGATACGGCGAAGAAAACAAGATCAGACCTGGTCCAGTTCAGACTCAGTACCTGTTCTGGAGCTGGTCCTGGTCTCTGAGCTCAGTCCTCCTCTTGAGGTCCTCACTCTGAGCTCGTACCTGCGTCCAGGTGTGAGACCCTTGAAGACCTGCTGGGTGGTGTTGGGGGGTAGGCGGAGCTCCTGGGGTCTGGATCCCTGAGCAGAGAGGGTCAGCAGGTAGAGGTCCACCCCCCCTTCAGGTGGACTCCAGGAGGACCGCAGACTGTCTGTGCTGCCGTTGTGGTCCAGGATCAGGTCTGAGACGGCTGCGGGTTCTGAGGGGGTCAGAGGTTTCAGGGTTACAGGTGTTCAGGTCGGAGTCACCTGTTTGTTTACCTGCTGACTGTTCTCACTTAGGTCCTCATTTATCGTAGAAAAGGTTCGAGATTCTGACGCAGGAATGAAACTTCAAAAATCTGTATTTCTCAAACACGCCGACGTACGAAGACGAGTTCGTTATCGGGGATGATAAACCCCGCCTACTCTTGACGACCACCACTAATAATCATAAATTAATAATAATAATAATAATAACAATAATAATAATAACAATAATAATAACAATAATAATAATAATAATAATAATAACAATAATAATAATAATAATAATAATAACAATAATAATAATAGTAATAATAACAATAATAATAACAATAATAAAAATAATAATAATAATAATAATAATAATAATAACAATAATAATAATAATAATAATAATAATAACAATAATAATAATAATAAAAATAATAATAACAATAATAATAATAATAATAATAATAATAATAATAATAACAATAATAATAATAATAACAACAACAACAACAACAACAACAACAATAATAATAATAATAATGATAATGACAATAATAACAATAATAATAATAATAACAATAATAATAATAATAATAATAAATCAGATTTTATAGCGATTTTTGTCAGAGACCTCAAACCTCTTTTCATTGGATCATTCATTCATTCATTCATTCATTCATTCATTCACACCATGGTGGTAAACCACCTCAGTAGTCACAGCTGACAGTTCACACCTACAGCCTCTCCGACCACCACACACTCACAACCACACACTCACAATCACACACTCACAATCACACACTCACAACCACACACTCACAATCACACACTCACAATCACACACTCACAATAACACACTCACAATCACACACTCACAACCACACACTCACAATCACACACTCACAATCACACACTCACAATCACACACTCACAACCACACACTCACAATCACACACTCACAATAACACACTCACAATCACACACTCACAACCACACACTCACAACCACACACTCACAATCACACACTCACAATCACACACTCACAACCACACACTCACAACCACACACTCACAACCACACACTCACAACCACACACTCTGGGGATGTGTGGGTCTTAAACCGCCAACCTTCCAGTTATTGGCCGACCGCTCGACCTCCTGAGCTCCTGCCGCCCTCTCCTGGCGAGCTCGTTCATGGTTAGGGTCATTTACATTCAGACACGCCTCCAACTGACCATATATGGTATCAACAATCCCTTTAAAAACGCCTGAATGGATTTTTTCCCCCTCGCTGAAATCATGGCGGTTCACACTCACAGTCGTGCGTTCCTCCAACAACGTTTAAGAGATCCATATGATCGTCTCAGATTATTGATCACTGATTGACTGAAATCCTTTCCTGTCATCTAAACTGAATTGATCGTATGAAGGTTCTTTTATTACGATGTGGTCAAATCTACGGCTCCAATGATGTTTGGGAATCCGGCGATGGCGTGAAATCCTGGTTTTATTTCGGCGTGCTTCTGATGCGTGTTTGGGAACTGGATCCTCACCTGTGAACGCTCGTGTTGAGGTGGAGCTCTGCAGGCCCAAAGCCTCGGTTACCACGGTAACTGTGTACAGGGTCCCAGGCTGCAGGTGGTCCAGGTGAGCGAGAGTGTCCGTGTTTTTTAGAGTGAAGTTCTTCAACAGAACCTCATCCTGATCCATCAGCAGAACTCGGAACCTCTCCACTCCACCTGGACCTCCACGCCAAAACACGTCCAGACTGTGAGGAGACGAGGACGCCACCTGCAGACCGAGGACTGGTGAGGGGACTGCAGAAGAGACATAAAGACACAGGTAAACGGGACCCCAGGTGGACCGGTGTCTCACCTGTAGGACAGGTGTTGTGTGGATCAGAACCTGTCTCACCTGTAGCAGCTGAAGCTTGGACAGGTGTGGCGCTCTTGTCCCCCGCCGTAGCGACCACAGTGACGGTGTACAGGTGTCCGGGGATCAGGGAACCAAATCCAGTCTGGGGGGGAGCAGAGCCCATGATCCTGGTGCTGTGGACCAAGCCTGAGCCCGGGTCCTCCACAGTTACCTGGTACCAGTCCACCTGACCTGCTGAAGGAGACCAGGTGACCTCCAGAGCCGGAGGACCTGAGATGACCTTGGACTGGCTTTTATGGGAGACCTGATCCTGGACCTGTTCTACCCTCAGGAGAGTCGGGCTGGCAGGTTCTGAGATGGGTCAGAAGAGGAGGAACCAGAAGAAAACCAGACCATCAGCTCTGCTGACCTTTCAAAATAAAAGCCCCTGAATTCTGAAGGAAGTACGGCTGAGTTTGTTTTTGTGCCTCAGGACCCTGACAGCTGATTGGCTGGCTACTCCTCATCGATTATTCTCCTCCTCCTCCTCCTCCTCCTCCTCCTGTAGACCAATAAGATCGGGTTCTTCAGAACCTTTTAGCTCCTCCTCCTCTCTGACTCAGATCATCCTGTTCTTTAACAAACACAGATCGGACATCCTGCTGCACACACACACACACAATAACAGGAGGGAAGTGTGTGTGTGTGTGTGTGTGTGTGTGTGTGTGTGTGTGTGTGTGTGTGTGTGTGTGTGTGAAAATAAACACTCTTAGAAGATGGGGGGGGGGGGGGGGACTTTGTGGAAAGTTTCAGGCAGAACCTGAAAAACTGAAATAATAAAGAACATTCCTGATCTATAAACTGAACAATAACATCTGCAGTTCCTCCAGGGTCCACTAGAGGCAGTTTCCTGCAGTGAGTCAGTCTTTATAAAAAAATAAACATTTACAGAAAAGAAAAAACTCACCTGTTCACTCAGGATTACATTGACCTGTTGACTCTGGACTGAGGATTTGAGTGGAAAAGTTAGTAAATCAGCTCTTCAGACAGTTAGTTTAGTTATTGTTAGTTAGTTAGTTAGTTAGTTAGTTAGTTAGTTAGTTAGTAAGGTAGATAGTCAGCTAGGTGGTTAGTTAAATAGTCAGGTAGATAGCCGGATAGTCTCTTCACTTCTCAGCCGTCTGTTTGTTAGTTAGTCTTGAACTTTGAGACGACCTCTCATCAGTGAGCGTCGAAACAGTCAGAGACGTCGGTGGACTAAAACAGGAAGTGATGAAATCAAAGACCGAAACAGTTTAAATGGATCTGAGATGTTAATTATTATTATTACCTCTGCGTTAGTGATCGTGTTTATTTACAGTCACAAAGTTTGATGTTTTTGCATCATTTTGTATAAAACCCACCTTTATGACATCATAAATACACACCTGTACGTTAGGACCTTTATGACATCATAAATACACACACCTGTGTGTGTTTCTCACCTGTACGTAAGGACCTTTATGACATCATAAATACACACCTGTGCGTTAGGACCTTTATGACATCATAAATACACACCTGTGCATTAGGACCTTTATGACATCATAAATACACATCTGTGCGTTAGGACCTTTATGACATCATAAATACACACCTGTGTGTGTTTCTCACCTGTGCGTAAGGACACGTTTCTTTTCTCTCCGTCCTTCGTGGACATCACCTTCACTGTGTAAACGGTTCCAGGTCTCAGACCATCGATGAGACAGGTGAACTCTGTCCTGGACTCTCCGTCAGGGTCACAGTGGGCGGAGTCAGTGTGGGAGGGGTCATCAGTGACCACAGTAAAGTTACAGGAGAGTGCGGCGGTGGCGGCGCTGAATTTAACCACGGCTGAGTCTGAGCTGGAGCTGATCTCTGTGAAGTTCACAGAGCAGCGGGAAACCTCTGAGGACCACACCTAGAACAGGAAGTGACATCATACAGGTGAATGGATTTAGAGGAGGTTCAGGTGAGTTTATGGGTCAGAGGTCAGAGGTAAACCTCCAATTTTTGGACTGTCACTAACTCCAGGTGGCCCTGAGGTCAACGTCCTTTAAGGTCCAAACACAAGTCCAGTTCCCATCAAGGATTCTGGATCTAAGCTGTTCTCACATGAGGGTCCAAGTAAGATCCAGGAGGAACCAAAGTCCTTCTCTGTGCGGTTTTTAGAACTACGACAGTCACCTGGACTAACAAACGAGCTTTAGAGAAAACAGGAAAAACTATCAATAGATTTTATTTTTGAGACCTGAACCTGACATCAGGCTCTGCCATCCAATCAGGACAGAGCTGAAGGACACGCCCACCTGGCAGCTCTATCAGAGACACGCCCACCTGGCGGCTCATTCACATATTCCCTCTCTTGTGAAGTCCGTCCCCCTGCTGGTCTTCTTTGTCCTCTCTGGTTTGTGTTGGTCCAGTCTGTCTTTAAAGGGTCACTGTCCTGAAGGTCTGAACAGTTATGTGGACGGTTTGTTCCAGACCACAGACAGTCTATCAACAGTCTATCCACAGTCTATCAACAGTCTATCAACAGTCTATCAACAGTCTATCAACAGTCTGTCAACAAACTATCAGTCTACCAACAACATTCACCTCTGGAGGGGGTGTCTGACTCGGTGTTCCGTTGTGTTTGACCCTAAATTAATTTTACGCCGGAATATCCCTTTAGAGATTTAGGTGTTTTAGGGTGGAGCAGGAGGGGGTGGAGCTTACTGTTGACCCTCTGAATTTTGAGAGGCGTCCAAGTCAAACATCAAACATGAGACCACAGAGATCAGAGGTCCAGGTCTGAAGCAGAAGTACTTACAGCTGTGATGGAGGTCTTGGGTGTAGTTGTAGTCTCAGGAGAAGCTGATGTTGTTTTGGTGATTGTTGTAGCTGCAGGTGGAGTTGTTCTAATGGTGGTTTGGATGGTTGTAGTTGTAGATGCTTCTGTGGGTAAGGTTGACGTCAAAGGTGAGGATGTAGATCCAGAGGATGTAGATGGTTTGGATGGAGATCTGCTCAATGTAGGAGGGGTGGTGGTTAATTCAGTGGCTGTAGGAGGTGGTGTTGTTAATTTGATGGTATAAGAAGGTGTAGTTAGTACTTTGATGGTTGTTAAAGGTGTAGTTGTTGATTTGATGAATGTCAAAGGTGTAGTTGTTGATTTGATGGTTTCTAAAGGTGTAGTTGTTGATTTGATGAATGTTAAAGGTGTAGTTGTTGATTTGAAGGTTGTTAAAGGTGTAGTTGTTGATTTGATGAATGTTAAAGGTGTAGTTGTTGATTTGATGAATGTTAAAGGTGTAGTTGTTGATTTGATGGTTGTCAAAGGTGTAGTTGTTGATTTGATGGTTTCTAAAGGTGTAGTTGTTGATTTGATGGTTTCTAAAGGTGTAGTTGTTGATTTGAAGGTTGTTAAAGGTGTAGTTGTTGATTTGATGAATGTTAAAGGTGTAGTTGTTGATTCGATGGTTTCTAAAGGTGTAGTTGTTGATTTGAAGAATGTTAAAGGTGTAGTTGTTGATTTGAAGAATGTTAAAGGTGTAGTTGTTGATTTGATGGTTGTCAAAGGTGTAGTTGTTGATTTGATGGTTTCTAAAGGTGTAGTTGTTGATTTGAAGAATGTTAAAGGTGTAGTTGTTGATTCGATGGATGTGTCTGTGGTCATTGGAGTGTCTGTCTGATTGAAAGGTGGAGTTGTTGGAGCTGAGGAGCCCACTCCTCCTGAAGATGTCACCTCTTCTGATGGAGGAGTGGGTGAAGCCTCAGTAAAGGTGGTGTCAGCAGAGTTGATTGTTTGAGTCACAGAAGTAGTCCTGGGGGCAGATGGAGTTCCTGTCTCAGGGACTGATGGAGATGTCCGACCTACAGGTGAGGCTGAGGTGGAGTCAGAGAAAGAGAGTCGCCCCTGACCTGAGGTCCAACCTGAGGAGGTGGAGGTGGAGGTGAAGTCATTTATCTCCTTTGTGATGACCTCTGACCTTTGTGATGCACCTGTCATGGAGAAGGTGGAGGAGGAACCAACATGGCCGCCCTGTGGAGCTGATCGTACTGTTCGAGCACCACCTGTGCAATTCAGGTCTGATGGAGCTGAATCAGGTGTTGGTGGGTGGTGTCCGGAGGTGTCTTTATGTGTGGGTGGGTGGTGTCCTGAGGTGGGGTCATGTGTTGGTGGGTGGTGTCCTGAGGTGGGGTCATGTGTTGGTGGGTGGGTTCCTAAGGTGGGGTCATGTGTGGGTGGGTGGTGTCCTGAGGTGTCATCAGGTGTTGGTGGGTGGGGTCCTAAGGTGGGGTCATGTGTGGGTGGGTGGTGTCCTGAGGTGTCATCAGGTGTTGGTGGGTGGGGTCCTAAGGTGGGGTCATGTGTTGGTGGGTGGTGTCCTGAGGTGTCATCAGGTGTTGGTGGGTGGTGTCCTGTGGTGGGGTCAGGACTGCTGTCTGGGTGGGGTCCCTCTGTATCAGAGATGGTGATGGAGGAGCCTGTGATTGAGGGTTTCAGGGGTTTGTAGGTGGAGGCATCAAAGGTGGATGTCACAGGAAACGTGTCTGAAAGGTAAAAAAAAGGAAACTTTAACATGGTGGGTGGGGTTATAATTATAAACAACCTCCACCTTTGTAAGGACACAGACTACACCTTTAAAGAGAGACAGTTTAATCTGTAATCCCGTCTCCTCTAATCCCTCTGAAGAAAAATCATTTCTCTTTTTTTTCCAAATAAATCGTCCTGGTGAATTTTTGTTCCCGAAGTCGTTTGTACGAAGTCGTTTGTACGAAGTCGTTTTAACGTCGTCTCTCTTTAGCGTTACGTTGCTAACATTAGCTCGTGTTACCAAAACAATGAAAAACTGGATATTTCAGAGCCGTCAACTTAAATCCCACGTTAAATAAAAAAAAAACGTCGTCATCTTCATTATTTGGTCCTTGATGGCCACCGTTGACTCAGTGACAGGAGAGATTAGACCACTAGGTGTCGCCAAAGACCCCAATACAGATCTGAAGTGTGGATCTCTGTTCTCTGGGTTTCCTGAGATCTCTTGGTCCTGGTCTCAGTTTCTGGTCTGGTCTCTTTCAGTCGGGTGGGGGGGTCTTCTAAAGACCTGAATAGGTGTGTTACTCAGCATTGGTCTGGATCTCCCCCTAGTGGACACTCACGGTACTGCAGTCTCCTCAGTAAGAAACCATCAACATCAGGAGTCAGCGCCCCCTGGTGGTCTGTAGAGTCAGGAGGTTTGGATCTCGTTTATTTCAAACTTACTTAAAGTGGGGGTGGGGGGGGGGTGATGGAGCGGCTCATTGTTTAACTCAGAGTGTGTGTGTGTGTGTGTGTGTGTGTGTGTGTGTGTGTGTGTGTGTGTCAGGAAGTACACTGCTGACGTTTTTCCTGCTGGACTTGGTGAACTGACCCTCAACGTTCAGTCACTCACTTCCTGATGTTTGGCAGCTAGCATGCTAACTGTTAGCATGCTAACTGTTAGCATGCTAAGGTTAGCGGTTGGTGGGGTCATTAGCCTGTTTGCTAACATGTCAGAAAGTCTGTTCTCCTCACTTTTGACTGTTAATTTCTCTGAATTACAGATTATCAACAATCTGATTATTTTGTGCTTCAGATTAAAGTTCAATAAAAAACTTTTGTTCAAGAAAATCAAATATTTCAGTTTTAATCAACGACAGACTCCTGACCAATCACGGTCGGCTTATGAACAACCAATCAGATTTAGTCTGACAGAGTCCCAAAGAGTCGAACAGAGTCTTAGTCTACGTTCTCTCTGCAGGTTCTGATCCACGATTCGGTTGTTTCGTTAAATCCGATCTTTTTGTGCGGTTGTTTACGTTACAACAACGGATGTGTCTGTGAAGTGACCCTCATGCTCACAAACTGTTCTCCGCTCCTGTTTGTGTCGTTGAACAATGGTGACGTTTGTCTCATAGTGATGACGTAAAGGTCGGATGAACTCGACCTGAGCGCCACACTGCAGTCACATCAGATACATATCTGGATCAGAACCAATCAGAACTGAGCTGCAGTCTGACCGTAGACTCAGGGATTTTTACAGAGTCGAACAGATCCTAATGTTCACATCTCCGACTTCTGAGGTGAGTTCTGATTGGCCGAGCGTCTCAGAGGTTCAGGACTCTGTGAGAGACCGCGTGAGCGAACAGTTCAACAGTTTCAGGATAAAGTTCCTGATTTCATCGTCGACACAAGATCAGATCATTCAGTCTCTGACAGAACTCTGGAGTGGGAATCACCGCATGGGTTTAATATCACCGGTCCAAGAACTCCAAACTCCAACTCTCTTCAGGAAGAAGGACAGCTGGACTTAGTCGAGACGTTTCGTCTCAGGCCAAACGTCTCGACTAAGTCCAGCTGTCCTTTCAACAAGACTAGAAATCCTAGATGCTGCATCCTCAATTTTAAACAACATCTCAAGGTTTAGGAGGAACATCTGTGTCCATCCAGACCAGGACTTTTTCAGAGAAGACCTTCAGATGATCCAGAACCACATCCTGACATCCTTAGTTTAAGAAGATCTGAGGAACCTGAACCTGAAACCACATTTAGTGAAAATGTTTTCGATCTAAAACCATCAGATATGATTGAAATGATCCTGAGAATCTGTTGTTGAGTTTATTAAAACTCTTAGAAATGAAGATTATTAAAGGTTCAAACTCTCAGATTAAACTACAAAGAAATTAAGATTATTAAAGGTTCAAACTCTCAGATTAAACTATAAAGAAATTAAGATTATTAAAGGTTCAAACTCTCAGATTAAACTACAAAGAAATGAAGATTATTAAAGGTTCAAACTCTCAGATTAAACTACAAAGAAATGAAGATTATTAAAGGTTCAAACTCTCAGATTAAACTACAAAGAAATGAAGATTATTAAAGGTTCAAACTCTCAGATTAAACTACAAAGAAATTAAGATTATTAAAGGTTCAAACTCTCAGATTAAACTACAAAGAAATGAAGATTATTAAACGTTCAAACTCTCAGATTAAACTATAAAGAAATTAAGATTATTAAAGGTTCAAAGTCTCAGATTAAACTATAAAGAAATGAAGATTATTAAAGGTTCAAACTCTCAGATTAAACTACAAAGAAATGAAGATTATTAAAGGTTCAAACTCTCAGATTAAACTACAAAGAAATGAAGATTATTAAAGGTTCAAACTCTCAGATTAAACTACAAAGAAATTAAGATTATTAAAGGTTCAAACTCTCAGATTAAACTACAAAGAAACTTTCGTCACTCAGACCTTTTACTCGTTTTACAGACACTCAATATTCACAGTTTAAAGGACGGAGCAGGTAAACTCGGCGTATCATTGGAGAGCGCCACGATTCAGGGTTTCAGAGGTTATACTCACACTCGGAGCTCAGCGCCGTCATGAAGAAGAAGAAGAAGAAGAAGAAGAGCGGCTTCAGCGCCTCCATGTTTGAGCGTCTGCTGTCGAGCCAAAGTGTGGAGGAGCTGCAGGGAAGTGAGCGAGGAAAGAGCGGACCCACACCGCTTCCTCCAATTCAACCAGACACACACACACACACACACACACACACACACACACACACACACACACACACACACACACACTCACAGAATGAGTCCTCGACTGTCGGAAATACCACACCACAGCCCTCACTAACACACACACAGTTACACAAAAGTCACAGAATAACTCACACAGTAACACAAAACGGACACACACCTCTGATGGCTCTTTAAAGGGTTAATTTAAACTTATTTTAATATTCGGACCGGAGTTTAAAAATCTGAAATCAGGTGGATTTTTTATTTATTTTACAGTTTAAAGTTTATTTATTTAATTAATGATTTATTTCGGTTCAAAAACTTAAACTCAGTTTTTCTGTTTTTCTGGTTACAGATAAAAGATTCACGTTTTATTTCTAATGTTTAATTCTTCATGTTTTATTTTAAAGTCTTGATTTCTGTTGAGTTTTTAATGTTTTTATTTTATTTTTAATCTTTTTGTTTTATAACTGTAAGTTTGTAATATTTTATTTCTGTTTTATTTTTATAATTTAATTTCTTTGATTTTAAATGTTAAATTTTTTAATGTGATGTCTAAAGTGTTTTATTTTATTTCTAATGTTTTATTTTTATAATTTAATTTCTTTGATTTTAAATGTTAAATTTTTTAATGTGATGTCTAAAGTGTTTTATTTTATTTCTAATGTTTGAAAGTTTAATGTTTAATTTATAATGTTTACGTTTAAAATTGTATTTCTAATGTTTCATCTTTTTAAACATGTATTTTGTTGGTCATGTTTGGTTTATAATGTATTTGTTGATGTTTAAACTGAGTGTGATCCTCCGTCTCTGAGCCGTTAGTGAAGTTATCTGCAGATTCAAATCGGATCAGAACCTGTGGATCCAGGATCTCCTCCTCACAGATTCAAACAGTTTTCAGAAATGTTGAGGATCATTCGGAGAGTTTCTGTCTGTCGTACAATAACAAACACACACACACACACACATTTATTGACTTCCTGTCCTGTCGGCGGGTAGATGATGAGGAAGAGGAGGAAGACATCTCCTCCACCCTGGAACATCCTGACTGCAGTTTTCACCACCGACCTGAGACGACCACTGTTTGTCCCTTTTCTCTCTTTCTGGTTTCCTTCTGTTCAAATAAACGTCACAGATTCATAACAGACATTATCGTCATGACAACAATATCGCCATAATCTACACAACCTTTTTGCAACGATTAAAGGTGGAGAAGTCTGGATCCTGTTATAGAAGCATCTTTTTATTTTATGGTGTATAAACATAAACTCCTTTAATATCAGTCAATAGTTATTAGTTATTGATTATTTGGTAATATATCGATATCTCTGTGTTCTCTTATGTCTGTGTCGTCAACATTTGAACATTTTTGAGCGGTCCGCTCTTTCTGACTGTAAACAAAGACGTTCTCCGCCTCCTCTAACCTGATTGGTTGTGAGGCAGACGCTGCTCCCCCGTGTCGTGAGACACACACCACAAATACATTACCTTTAAAAGAGCCATTACCTTTAAATTAGACATTACCTTTAAAACAACCATTACCTTTAAATTAGACATTACCTTTAAAACAACCATTACCTTTAAATTAGACATTACCTTTAAATTAGACATTACCTTTAAAACAACCATTAACTCTCTGACTTTATTATCTCAAAACACTTTCAGGTTTGAGGCACTTGCTGTCTAATATCTGCAGCGACCAACACCGACCCAAAACATACATGTGTTCAACAGAACCAGACCCACTGAGACCAGAGCCAGACCCAAACCCACTGAGACCAGAACAAGACCCACTAAGACCAGAACCAGACCCACACCCACTGAAACCAGACCCACTGAGACCAGACCCACTGAGACCAGACCCAGACCCACTGAGACCAGAACCAGACCCACTGAGACCAGAACCAGACCCACTGAGACCAGACTGTGTCCATGTTTCTAGTTTGTTGGACTGGGATCATGTGAACGACAGAGTGAAACTGTAGTAGTCTGTGTTTATCTCCTCCTTCAGAAATCTGGACTGATCTGGTGCTGATCCGGTTTGTGGTGTTCTTCATATTTCAGAACCTTTCATTGAAACACAGACAAACCAACATTTGCTCTGAGCGTGCTCCTGCTGACACCGCCACTCGACATCAGGACGAACTTTACAGAAAACATTTTCATGTCTGAGAATTTTAAACTATTTTATCAACTGAGCAGCTGATACTGATGTGTGTGTGTGTGTGTGTGTGCACGTGTGTTAGTGCGTATGTGTGTGTGTGTGTGTGTGTGTGTGCACGTGTGTTACTGCGTATGTGTGTGTGTGTCAGGTCCTCACTTGTGTAGTTAACCTCTGTTGTTGAGAAGGAAGCTCCACCTACAGCAGGAAGTCATGCTGCGTAACCCTTACACACACACACACACACACACACACACACGCACGCACACACACACGCACACACACACACACACACACACACACACACACACACACACACACACACACACACACAGGTTTTGAAAACAGGAGTCTCGGTCTGATGTCTAATAAAAACTTGGCAGTGAAAACAGCTTCATCACTGTTCTGTCCTTCATATCAGTCCGAGGACAAAACCCCCTCATGTCACACGGTGGCGCCGACGACGTTCTCCTCATATTCGGACCTCTGTGGTCGTCTGATGTTTACTTCAGTCCCTACATTTTATCTGATCTATGATTGCAGCAAGACCAGGACCAGGACCAGGACCTGGACCAGGACCAGGACAGGGAGCTGTAGCGTGCCACCTCTGTACGCTCCACCTCCTCCTGCAGACATCCATCCGTCCTCAGGGGTCAAAGGTCACGGTCTGGGCGTGTGCTCAAGGTCTTTCTCTCTGATTGGCTGATGGAGATTTCCTGAACCGACGACCAGAAGGAAGAGCTTTACGACTTTGTGTGTGTGTGTGTGTGTGTGTTTGTTTTATGGTGTTATTGGGACGGGGGGGGACGGGGGGGGGGGGGGGGGGGGCAGGAAGTGAACCTGTCTTATTGTCTGCAGGAGTTATTACAGAAGAAGAAGAAAAACAAAGATCCTGGAGGTCTGTCTATCTATCGAGGTTTGGACTGTCGGTCTGAACCAAAATGGAAACTCTCTTTGTCTGCCGTCTGAGTCTCTGAGTCTTTGAGTCTTTGAGTCTCTGAGTCTTTGAGTCTCTGAGTCTTTGAGTCTTTGAGTCTCTGAGTCTTTGAGTCTCTGAGTCTTCGAGTCTCTGAGTATTTGAGTCTCTGAGTCTCTGAGTCTTTGAGTCTTTGACTCTCTGAGCCTTTGAGTCTTTGAGTCTTTGAGTCTCTGAGTCTCTGAGTCTTTGAGTCTCTGAGTCTTTGAGTCTTTGAGTCTTTGACTCTCTGAGTCTTTGAGTCCTTGAGTCTTTGAGTCTCTGAGTCTTTGAGTCTGAGTCCCTGAGTCTTTGAGTCTTTGAGTCTTTGAGTCTCTGAGTCTCTGAGTCTTTGAGTCCTTGAGTCTCTGAGTCTTTGAGTCCTTGAGTCTCTGAGTCTTTGAGTCCTTGAGTCTCTGAGTCTTTGAGTCTTTGAGTCTCTAAGTCTCTGAGTCTTTGAGTCTCTGAGTCTTTGAGTCTTTGAGTCTTTGAGTCTCTGAGTCTTTGAGTCCTTGAGTCTCTGAGTCTTTGAGTCTTTGAGTCTCTGAGTCTTTGAGTCTCTTAGTCTTTGAGTCTCTGAGTCTCTGAGTTTTTGAGTCTCTGAGTCTTTGAGTCTCTGAGTCTTTGAGTCTCTGAGTCTTTGAGTCTCTTAGTCTTTGAGTCTCTGAGTCTCTGAGCCTTTGAGTCTCTGAGTCTTTGAGTCTCTGAGTCTTTGAGTCTTTGTCTCGCTCAGTTTGACTGACATTCAGGAAAAAAGTCAAAAGAAATAAAATCTTTTAAAACCTGAAAAGTTTAAAATGAAATTCTGAATAATCTGAATTTACAGAGTTTGGTGTCGACTCTGCAGGTACGCCAAGTTTAAAATCAGGAGACAAACTGATTTTGTTTATAATATTAGAACGCAGATGTAAACTGATCAGATCTCAGACAATCAATCCAACAGCTGATAATTATCAATCTAATAAATAATCAATGGTCCTCATTACGTACCATAAACCTGTTTATAGTCCATCATTTTGTCTTCAGTGTGAAACAGGAAGTGTTGTCTGAGTGACTCTTTATCCTCTCACTCATTTGACCTTTGACCCCAGAGATGCAGCCTTTACCTGTATTGCCCCGGCAATATTACCTGTTGTTGTTTATGTCTTCTTAATTTGATTGGATGTTTCTACGGGGGGGTGGAGCTGCAGGTGATTCTTCGCTGCATTTCTCTCCGCACAGTCGTGGTGACTCTGAAACTCTGGGATTTGTAGTTTTTATGGTCACATGGTTGGTCCTCAGCCTTTCTGTTGGTGTTCTCTTGTCAGCCAGCCTCCTCCTCTTCATCAGCTGTCTCCTCCTCCTCCTCTTGGCTGTCCACCTGTGCAGGTGGAGTTCTCTCTCTCTGGATTTTGTCGATGAAGTGAATAAAGTGAAAGGTTGAAAAACAAACATCAGCTCCTCCTCTGCCGAAGATAAGGTGTTGTAGTTCAGGATCTGAGGAGGTTCCAGTTTTTAGGAGAAATCTTGAATGTAAACTCGACCCCTCCAACCAGTTTCCCCCTCAGCTCCTCCTCTCCCTCTTAAGCCCCGCCCACAAACAGACGCTCCTGCTCGCTCGTATCGTTCCAGTTAAATTCAGATATAATGCAGATAAATCCTTCAGATCATTACAAATGGGGCCCAGTCAAGGTGAAAGTCAAAAGCATTGGTGCTACTGTAGATGCCAACAGACTACCAGCAAACACAATGTTTGCAGGACTTCTACAACGAGGATAAAGTGACATAGTCCAGGACCCGAGGGAGGACAGTTTAGCGATGGAGCTACAACACGCTACAGCAGGTCCGTTTGACAAGAAACACTTCTGTTACAGACACTTGTCTTACTTTGTTAAAGCGGTTTACCTGTCCAGCAGAAAGGTTACAGGGTCACCAAGATCCCCAAGCGTCCCCCATCGTTTATGTTGACCCGGCTTTTTAGCTCTTGTCCGGTCTACCTCCGTTTTAAGCGCCCGTTATTCCTCCAGAGTCTCCGGTATTTACTTTGTTTTCTCGCTTGTGTCGGCAGTCGTGGCCAAAGGAGGATTCAGACAATTTTCCGAACTTTCTGGTTGGTTTCTACTGTCCGATATTGTAGCACGCTAACTTTGTTTGGGCTCCTGAACGACACGGGGGAGCAGCGTTTTCTTGTTGACTGTTTTCTTGTTGACTGATTATAGTTGACGTTTTCTTGCTGACTGTTTTCTTGTTGATTGTGGTTGACTGTTTTGGTGTTGACTGTTTTCTTGTTGACTGATTATAGTTGACGTTTTCTTGCTGACTGTTTTCTTGTTGACTGTTTTCTTGCTGACTGTTTTCTTGTTGACTGTTTTTTGTTGACTGTTTTCTTGTTGACTGATTATAGTTGACGTTTTCTTGCTGACTGTTTTCTTGTTGATTGTGGTTGACTGTTTTGGTGTTGACTGTTTTCTTGTTGACTGTTTTCTTTTTGACCGGTTTGGTGTTGACTGTTTTCTTGCTGACTGTTTTCCTGTTGACTGTTTTCTTGCTGACTGTTTTCTTGTTGACTGTTTTCTTGTTGACTGATTATGGTTGACGTTTTCTTGCTGACTGTTTTCTTGTTGACTGTTTTCTTGCTGACTGTTTTTTGTTGACTGGTTTGGTGTTGACTGATTATGGTTGACGTTTTCTTGCTGACTGTTTTCTTGCTGACTGTTTTCCTGTTGACTGTTTACTTGCTGACTGTTTTTTGTTGACTGTTTTCTTGTTGACTGATTATGGTTGATGTTTTCTTGCTGACTGTTTTCTTGTTGACTGTTATCTTGTTGACTGTTTTCTTGTTGACTGTTTTCTTGCTGACTGTTTTATTGTTGACTGTTTTTTGTTGACTGTTTTCTTGTTGACTGATTATAGTTGACGTTTTCTTGCTGACTGTTTTCTTGTTGACTGTTTTCTTGCTGACTGTTTTCCTGTTGACTGTTTTTTGTTGACTGTTTTCTTGTTGACTGATTATAGTTGACGTTTTCTTGCTGACTGTTTTCTTGTTGATTGTGGTTGACTGTTTTGGTGTTGACTGTTTTCTTGTTGACTGTTTTCTTGTTGACTGTTTTCTTTTTGACCGGTTTGGTGTTGACTGTTTTCTTGCTGACTGTTTTCCTGTTGACTGTTTTCTTGCTGACTGTTTTCTTGTTGACTGTTTTCTTGTTGACTGTTTTCTTGTTGACTGATTATGGTTGACGTTTTCTTGCTGACTGTTTTCTTGTTGACTGTTTTCATGTTGACTGTTTTCTTGCTGACTGTTTTCTTGTTGACTGTTTTCTTGCTGACTGTTTTTTGTTGACTGGTTTGGTGTTGACTGATTATGGTTGACGTTTTCTTGCTGACTGTTTTCTTGCTGACTGTTTTCCTGTTGACTGTTTTCTTGCTGACTGTTTTTTGTTGACTGTTTTCTTGTTGACTGATTATGGTTGACGTATTCTTGCTGACTGTTTTCTTGTTGACTGTTATCTTGTTGACTGTTTTCTTGTTGACTGTTTTCTTGTTGACTGTTTTCTTGCTGACTCTTTTCTTGCTGACTGTTTATGTTTGAGTATTTTCTTGCTTGTGTCGGCAGTCGTGGCCAAAGGAGGATTCAGACAATTTTCCGAACTTTCTGGTTGGTTTCTACTGTCCGATATTGTAGCACGCTAACTTTGTTTGGGCTCCTGAACGACACGGGGGAGCAGCGTCTGCCTCACAACCAATCAGGTTAGAGGAGGTGGAGAACGGCTTTGTTTACAGTCAGAAAGAGCGGACCGCTCAAAAATGTTCAAATGTTGACGACACAGACAGAAGAGAACACAGAGATATCAATATATTACCAAATAATCAATAACTAATAACTATTGACTGATATTAGAAGAGTTTTGTGCTTCTTTAACGGACTCCTGCTGACCTCTCCTTTAACTCTGCAGATCTGATTTTTACTGTTTTGTCACTTTTTTAATTTCTGTTAAATTTATTTTAAAAAAACACGTCAGGATTTTAAAAAAGATTGAACTTCATTTTCCATCAGTCAGGGTCGTAGATCGAGTGACCCGTCTTAGTCCAGAGTCCTCATTATGTACCATAAACCCGTCTTAGTCCAGAGTCCTCATTATGTACTATAAACCTGTATCAGTTCAGAGTCCTCATTGTGTACCATAAACCTGTCTGTGGTCCACAATTTAGTTCTTAGTGTGAAACAGGAAGTCACTAATCTACTGATAAATCTATTGATCCCCTGATGTGAGTCGTGGCGGTGGGTCGTGGCGGTGGGTCGTGGCGGTGAGTGCGTGTTTTGGTGTTTTCTGTCCGTCTCCTGCTCTGACAGCAGGTCCGTTTCTCCGTCTCAGGTGTTTTTTTTTGATTGACAGACTGAAACAAAAACGATTCTCAGACTCTTTGTCTCTTCAGAAAATAATTTAATAACATTTGAAAGTTACAAATATATAAAAAACACAGTGAGGGACGTCTTCTCCTGTCCGTCTGAAGAAAACTTTAATCAAATTTGACAAAAAGAAGAAAAAAAACAGATTGCACATGTTTTTAGCCACGTTAGCATCGTTAGCTCCGTCCTGATCAGTCTCTGCTGTAGTCTCTCGCTCTCTCTCTCTCTCTCTCTCTTTTTTGTTCAGGCAGAGCCAATAGAAAATACTTTTAGAGAGGAGGGGGCGGGGCTTCACTCCCACATCAATACTGAAAAAGTCTGATTGTGTTTTTACAAAATAAAAGTCTTTTTTTTTTTTTTCCTCAGGAGACAAAGAAATAACCACGTGAAGAACATCCGTATAAACACACACAGGGGGCGGGGCTATGGGGAGAGGGTGGGGTCAAACAGCCAATGAGGCGTCAGAACCCCCTCAGAGAAACCAAACGGGAGGAAATGAACCAAATGAAGGCGACAGAACAAAACAGGAAGTAAAGAAATCACTCAGCAGGTGATACTTACGTACATGATGGCGAGTTAAAGCAGCTCCAGTGAGGGGGAGGGGCCGCGCTCTTACCTCCGCCCACTGACTGATGTCATAATGAATGAGTCACTGGCGCTCTGACACTGAGCACACTGACGCTAAGCTGAGCGGCTCACTCAAACTCACGCCCACCTGCTGACACCTGAGCAGCAGCCGCCGCAGACGCTCCGCCCACGGACCGGACGCTGCCGCACCAACGCCCCCGCCGCCAACGCCACCGCCGCCTTCAGCCGCCTCAAACAGCAGCCGCTAGGAGAAAGAGGGGAAAGGGGGGAGGGGACAGGGAGGGGGACACAGGTGAGGACGGGGTCAACAGGTAAAGATGAAGATTAAGACAAACGACTTCCTGTCCTCAGGTGTGTGTGTGTGTGTGTGTGTGTGTGTGTGTGTGTGTGTGTGTGTGTGTGTGTGTGTGTGTGTGTTAGGGGTAAATTACATCTTTCCACAGGTCAGCACACAGTGGAAGGTTCTGCAGGGCCTGACGGAACAGAAGACGCACCTGAGGGTGGGGGGTGGGGGGTCAGACCAGGAAGTGAATACACACACACACACACACACACACACACACACACACACACACACACACACTAGATCAGAGCTGAGATTAACCTGCAGGAGAACGAGTCAAACCAAGTTAGAGGAAAACATCAGAAGAAGAGTCTGAGCCGAGGTCATCCGGGGTCAAAACGGACAACAGATGATCAGCTGATCAGGTAATCAGCTGATCATCTGAGGTCAATAAAGGAAGAGAACGTCCTCACCTCTGATCGCTCCTTCAGCTCTCTCTCCACACTGATGGCTCTGTGACAAACAACAACACCAACCATCAAACAACAACACCAACCATCAGCTCCACCTTCAGAATCATCATCACAGACCTGCTGACCACAACAACACGTCTGTGTGTGTGTGTCTGTGTGTGTTTGTCTGTGTGTGTGTGTTTGTCTGTGTGTGTGTGTTTGTCTGTGTGTGTGTTTGTCTGTGTGTGTGTGTTTGTCTGTGTGTGTGTCTGTAAGTGTGTGTCTGTGTTTGTCTGTGTGTGTGTGTTTGTCTGTGTGTGTGTTTGATTGTGTGTGTGTGTGTCTGTGTGTGTGTGAGTGTTTGTCTGTGTGTGTGTGTTTGTCTGTGTGTGTGTGTGTTTGACTGTGTGTGTGTGTCTGTGTGTGTGTGTGTTTGTCTGTGTGTGTGTTTGTCTGTGTGTGTGTGTTTGTCTGTGTGTTTGTTTGTCTGTGAGTGTGTGTTTGTCTGTGTGTGTGTGTTTGTCTGTGTGTGTGTGTGTGTGTGTGTTTGTCTGTCTGTGTGTGTGTGTGTCTGTGTGTGTGTGTGTGTTTGTCTGTGTGTGTGTGTGTTTGTCTGTGTGTGTGTGTTTGACTGTGTGTGTGTGTGTGTGTCTGTGTGTGTGTGTGTTTGTCTGTGTGTGTGTTTGTCTGTGTGTGTGTGTTTGTCTGTGTGTTTGTTTGTCTGTGAGTGTGTGTTTGTCTGTGTGTGTGTGTTTGTCTGTGTGTTTGTTTGTCTGTGTGTGTGTGTGTTTGTCTGTGTGTGTGTGTGTGTGTGTGTTTGTCTGTGTGTGTTTGTCTGTGAGTGTGTGCGTTTGTCTGTGAGTGTGTGTTTGTCTGTGTGTGTGTGTGTGTGTGTTTGTCTGTGTGTGTTTGTCTGTGAGTGTGTTTGTCTGTGTGTGTGTGTGTGTGTGTGTTTGTCTGTGTGTGTTTGTCTGTGAGTGTGTGCGTTTGTCTGTGAGTGTGTGTTTGTCTGTGTGTGTGTGTGTGTGTGTGTTTGTCTGTGTGTGTTTGTCTGTGAGTGTGTTTGTCTGTGTGTGTGTGTGTTTGTCTGTGTGTGTTTGTCTGTGTGTGTCTGTGTGTTTGTCTGTGTGTGTGTGTGTGTTTGTCTGTGTGTGTTTGTCTGTGTGTGTGTTTGTCTGTGTTTGTCTGTGTTTGTCTGTGTGTGTGTTTGTCTGTGTGTGTTTGTCTGTGTGTGTGTTTGTCTGTGTTTGTCTGTGTTTGTCTGTGTGTGTGTTTGTCTGTGTGTGTTTGTCTGTGTGTGTGTTTGTCTGTGTGTGTGTGTGTTTGTCTGTGTGTGTGTTTGTCTGTGTTTGTCTGTGTGTGTGTGTGTGTTTCCTCACATCTTCCAGACGGACACACACTTTGGCGTGTTGCTGCTGATCATGTGACTCTGAAACTTGAGCTGCTCCATGTTCCCGTCCTTCCACTCGGTCTGCAGTAACCTGAACAGGAACACACCTGCTGTCAGAACACCTCAGACCTGCAGAGTTCCAGTTTTTTCTTAAAGACTAAAAACGTTCCTGAGTGACTCTTTATCTCCATCAACCAAGACGACGACGACGACCATGACGAGTTCATTTATTAAAACAGTTTAATATTTAAGTTTAAATCCATCAGATGTTCTTCAGCGTGGACCAGAGAGTACACCTGTTTACCTGTGTGTGTGTGTGAGTGTGTGTGTGTGTGTGTGTGTGTGTGTGTGTGTGTGTACCTCAGGCCCAGCTCCGTGTTGTTGGGCATGGAGTATCTGAGTCTCTCCAGGAGCAGTGCATGCTGGGACTGAGGAAGATGGCTCAGGTAGAGAGACACCACCTGAGGGAGTAGACCCACACACTGAATGAATGAATGAATGAATGAATGAATGAATGAATGGATGGATGAGCAGTGAGCACTACAGATGAAAGGATAATGAACAGGTGAGTGAGTGAGGTGAGCAGGGGCGGTCGAACTGAAGGAAGTAAAACGACTCTGAGATCTGACCGAGTCTGAACGACCTTCAAATATCTTTACAGTGACCTTCAGCAGCTGATAATAAACTGATAATGAACTGATAATGAACTGATAATGAACTGATAATAAACTGATACTGTACTAATAATGAACTGATAATAAACTGATAATGAACTGATAATAAACTGATAATGAACTGATAATGAACTGATAATGAACTGATAATGTACTGATAATGAACTGATAATAAACTGATAATGAACTGATAATAAACTGATACTGTACTAATAATAAACTGATAATGAACTGATAATAAACTGATACTGAACTTATAATAAACTGATAATGAACTGATAATAAACTGATAATGAACTGATAATGAACTGATACTGTACTAATAATAAACTGATAATGAACTGATAATGAACTGATAATAAACTGATAATGAACTGATAATAAACTGATAATAAACTGATAATAAACTGATACTGTACTTATAATAAACTGATACTGTACTAATAATGAACTGATAATAAACTGATAATAAACTGATAATGAACTGATAATGAACTGATACTGTACTAATAATAAACTGATAATAAACTGATAATGAACTGATAATGAACTGATAATAAACTGATAATGAACTGATAATGAACTGATAATAAACTGATAATAAACTGATAATGAACTGATAATAAACTGATAATGAACTGATGAACTGATATGAACTGATAATAAACTGATAATAAACTGATAATGAACTGATGAACTGATAATGAACTGATAATAAACTGATAATAAACTGATAATGAACTGATAATGAACTGATAATAAACTGATAATGAACTGATGAACTGATAATGAACTGATAATGAACTGATAATAAACTGATAATAAACTGATAATAAACTATAATGAACTGATAATAAACTGATAATAAACTGATAATAAACTGATAATGAACTGATAATAAACTGATAATAAACTGATAATAAACTGATAATAAACTGATAATAAACTGATAATAAACTGATAATGAACTGATAATGAACTGATAATAAACTGATAATAAACTGATAATAAACTGATAATACTCGGTTCCATGTTGGGCTCATGTCTGTATTCCGTCTCTGATATTTGTTCACAGAGTTTTAATCTCACTGTGGACTCAGAGGTGTCTGCAGTCAGAAGACGCCCCCTGCTAGACAAACTGATTTATTATATACTCAAACTGATCACAGACACCAGGGCGGCTCCACTGAGGTAAAAATCAGAATCAGGATTGATTTGATGGCTGGTGATGTCCGTGATTTTAAACTTTTTTAAACCTAAAAACCTTTTAAAAACTTTTTAAACTCTGATTTTTAAACTCCAAACTCTGTCCATATGAGAACCGCAGACACAGCTGCAGCTCCTCACAGGGAACCTTCCAGAAAAGGTTCTCTGAGGGACTCTGGGATGTTTTCAGGAACTTTGTGAGCTCTGATGGGGGGCTGTGAAGGTCTGAGAAGGTCGGATCTCTGAGTGAACATCCACAGATGGAAGAACGTCAGCAGGTTAACGTTTGATGCCCTCTGACCTTTTGGACGATGTCACGCTAAAAACCACCAGGTGAGTGTCTGACTCAGGTGACCTCTGACCTTGTTATGGAAGGTGTAGCAGGTCCAGAACTCTGCAGGGTTAAAGGGGAGCTCCAGTCTGGAGGGGACCGTGCTCAGACAGCGATGGACCAGGTCTGAGAAGAGCTTCGAGTGACTGAGGGACGGGTTGAGGGTCTGCAGACTGCTGCTGAACGACAGGTAACTGACACACACACACACACACAGACACGGACACACAGACGGGTCCAGAGTTAGTCCGGTCTCTCTTACAGACTCTCAGAACTTCAGTTTTTGGTCTCAGACGGACTCACTCCATCCACAGAGTCTGAAGATCCTCCAGAGTCAGAGAAGATCCCAGAGCTCGCTCAAACGCCGACACCGTGTCCTCCACCGAGCCCTGCAGCCACTGCCAACGACTGAACGTGCGCGCACACACACACACGCACACACACACGCACACACACACACACACACACACACACACACACACACACACACACACACACACAAAGTGATGTCAGTCAGTAAAAATCTGTTCTGCTGCTATCAGCTGATCAGGTCGCTCTGATTCTGATCACAGGTGAGGAGACACAGGTGAGGAGACACAGGTGAGGAGACAGGTGAGGAGACACAGGTGAGGAGACAGAGGTGAGGAGACACAGGTGAGGTGAGGAGACAGAGGTGAGGAGACACAGGTGAGGAGACAGAGGTGAGGAGACAGAGGTGAGGAGACAGGTGAGGAGACACAGGTGAGGAGACACAGGTGAGGAGACACAGGTGAGGAGACACAGGTGAGGAGACAGAGGTGAGGAGACAGAGGTGAGGAGACACAGGTGAGGAGACAGAGGTGAGGAGACAGAGGTGAGGAGACACAGGTGAGGAGACAGAGGTGAGGAGACACAGGTGAGGAGACAGAGGTGAGGAGACAGAGGTGAGGAGACAGGTGAGGAGACAGAGGTGAGGAGACAGAGGTGAGGAGACAGAGGTGAGGAGACACAGGTGAGGAGACAGAGGTGAGGAGACAGAGGTGAGGAGATACAGGTGAGGAGACAGAGGTGAGGAGACACAGGTGAGGTGGTACTGACCAGTGGATGAGGTGGAGGTGAGACATCTGCTGGCTGAGCTGCTCCTGAAGTTCTCTGATGATCGGACCTCTCAGGACGTCCTCAGTGGGAAACCCCAGGATGTGTCTGAGGCCAGAAAACACACACACACACACACACACACACACACACACTTCATCTACTGTCTGTAACAAACCAACGACACACTGAGACACACCTTCACACCTGTGGAGCGGACCGTACCTGAGCACGTCTTCAGGTCTCCTCTGACTCTGCTGGTCCTCACACAGGGACAGGACAAAACCTCTGAAGAGAGGAGGGACAGCGCTCGACTTCTCCTGTCACACATCATCAACGCATCATTAGTCAACGCCCAACCACAGCTGACCTCCTGACCCCCCCGTGACACCTGAACGTACCTGCGCCATGAGGAACCTGCAGCAGTGATAGAAGACCTCGGCGTTGTTGGGACACTCTGCCAGAGCGTGGAGCCACATCCTGACGGCCTGATCTGCCTGACCGCTACGCAGATGGAGGTCGGCGAGGGCGTCTCTGAGGGCGCACGACTCTGGACAAGACTGCAGCAAAGACTCACACAGACACACACCCTCATCGTACCTGGAAACACACACAGACACACACACACAGATACACACCTTTATCAGCCCTGTTAACACACATACGCCACGTTAGCCTTAGCGTTAGCATAATTGTTAGTGTTAGCATTAATGTTAGCGTTAGCATTATTGTTAGCATTTGCATTAGCGTTACCTGCCCAGCAGTGAGTGGAGGAGGATGAGGTTGGTGTGCAGAGGAAGGCAGTCTAGCGCCCTCTTGTTGTGGGACACTGACTCATCGCTGCACTGAAGGATGGCGTCTGAGAGAAGGACGGCACAGGAACAGGAAACACTTAATACAACCTAAACAGGAAACACTTCACAATAAAAGCCTGTCCACATGGCTGGCTGTTACCCTGGAAGAGAGCGATGAGGATGTCTGGCGGCGTGCTGATGTCTTGCGGCGTCCTCCAGGGCAGCTTGAAGGACCTGGTGCTGACCAGACGAGATGGACCCGACTCCGCCGGGTCGTACAGACTGGATGGGAGGCGGTCGAACTCGGTCAGGTGGATGAAGGAGAGCCAGAGCAGGGCGCGGTCTTTGCAGGTCAGGTGATCTGCAACACTCCTCTCATTGGCCGACTTCAGAGCGCTCTACAGAGAGTGAGGGAGTGTATGGAGATCATGTGACTGCAGCAGAGATCACATGATCAGGATGATGTCAAACCTTCATATTGTAGAACCGAGACAACCCTGTGTGAGAAACTCAAACGTTCTTCACAGGAAAGGTTCCTGAACTGATCCCAGGACACAGGATCAAAGAAATCTAAAATAAATCTAAAATAAATATAATATACATCTAAAAAAAATATAATATAAATCTAAAATAAATTTAATATAAATATAAAATAAATATTATATAAATCTAAAATAAATATTATATAAATATAATATAAATCTAAAATAAATATAATATAAATCTAAAATAAATATAAATATTATATAAATCCAAAATAAATATAATATAAATCTAAAATAAATATAATATAAATATAAAATAAATATAATATAAATCTAAAATAAATATAATATAAATCTAAAATAAATATAACATAAATCTAAAATAAATATAAAATAAATATAAAATAAATATAATATAAATATAATATAAATCTAAAATAAATATTATATAAATCTAAAATAAATATAAAATAAATCTAAAATAAATATAATATAAATATAATATAAATCTAAAATAAATATAATATAAATATAATATAAATCTAAAATAAATATAATATAAATATAATATAAATCTAAAATAAATATTATATAAATATTATATAAATCTAAAATAAATATTATATAAATCTAAAATAAATAAAATATAATTCTAAAATAAATATAATATAAATCTAAAATAAATATAATATAAATATAATATAAATCTAAAATAAATATTATATAAATATTATATAAATCTAAATTAAATATAATATAAATCTAAAATAAATATTATATTAATATAAATATAATATAAATCTAAAATAAATATTATATAAATCTAAAATAAATCTAATATAAATATAATATAAATCTAAAATAAATATTATATAAATATTATATAAATCTAAATTAAATATAATATAAATCTAAAATAAATATTATATTAATATAAATATAATATAAATCTAAAATAAATATTATATAAATATTATATAAATCTAAAATAAATATAATATAAATCTAAAATAAATCTAAAATAAATATATAAATCTAAAATAAATATTATATAAATATAATATAAATATAAAATAAATATTATATAAATCTAATATAAATCAAAATTAAATATAATATAAATATTATATAAATCTACATAAATCTAATAAAAATATAGTATTAATCTAAATATTAATCTTTCCTGACTTGTTTGGACTTTTTGTGGACCTGAGGTCGACCTAAACCTTCAGGCTGGTGTCATCTGGAGGTTTCTACCTCTTGGAGCAGAAACAACAGTTTCCTGCTGCTCACCTGCAGGATAGCGAGCGCGCTCTCCATGCGTCCGGTGAACAGGTTGAGCTGCACCCTGTAGAGCAGCGCCTCCATCAGCTGGAAGGAGAGTCTGTCCGAGGAGGAGGAGGAGGAGGAGGAGGAGAGCAGGAACTGCAGCAGACGCTCACACACATAGTCCTTCCCCTCAAACGACACCTCCAGGGTCAGATACTGCAGGACGGACACACACACACACACACACACACACACACACACACACACACATTAACCCTGAGGTCAGTCTGAGGTCACTCTAAGGTCAGCGCGTCACTGTGACCTCCTGCAGTCAAATCAATCACTTACGTTCCACCACACTCGGTAATCCGGCGCGTGCTCCACCGCCATCTCACACATCTCCTGGACCTCCTCCCTGCTGCCCCGTCTGGAGAAGAGCAGCAGGTAGTGACTCCACACCTCCGGGTTCTCACAGTTCGTCTCCAGAGCGCGAGACAGCGTGTTCAGCGCCGCCTCGAGGCACTCTGCTGCAGACCTGAACGCCACACACCGACAACCCCGTTAGAAATCAGTTTAAGACACAGATTTAGAGGAGTTAATCTGAGGGATTAAGGAGTTAATCTGACAGACTCAGAGGAGTTAATCTGAGGGACTGAGAATTAATCTGAAGGACTGAGGGACTGAGGAGTTAATCTGAGGGATTAAGGAGTTAATCTGACAGACTAAGAGGAGTTAATCTGAGGGATTAAGACACAGACTCAGAGGAGTTAATCTGAGGGATTAAGACACAGACTCAGAGGAGTTAATCTGAGGGATTAAGACACAGACTCAGAGGAGTTAATCTGAGGGATTAAGGAGTTAATCTGACAGACTAAGAGGAGTTAATCTGAGGGACTGAGGAGTTAATCTGAGGTTAATCTAAGGGATTGAGGAGTTAATCTGAGGGTTAACGAGTTAATCTAAGGGATTACCGAGTTAATATGAGGTATTATGGAGTTAATATCACAGACTCAGAGGAGTTAATCTGAGGGATTGAAGAGTTAATCTGAGGGATTGAGGAGTAAATCTGAGGGATTAAGGGGTTAATCTGAGGAATTAAGGAGTTAATCTGAAAGAATGAGGAGTAAATCTGAGCGATTGAAGAGTTAATCTGAGAGATTAAGGGAGTTAATCTGAGGGATTAAGGCGCGCTGACTCACGTCTCGCTCTGGTTCAGGTATTTGAAGGCCAGTTTGATCCACAGCTGGGTGTCTCGGGGTTCGTCCATCACGCTGCTCTCCAGGTTGGAGATGTCGTCCGTCTCGCTGATGAAATAGCGTCGGTCTTCTGAGGTGACGCAGACGTCCAGAGCAGACAGGCTGGACCTGGAGACGTCCTCTGAGGGGGACACGCACAGGTTAGAGGTCATTAGAGGTCATAGGGTGTTTCTGCTGAACTGATGGGACATGATCTGTCCGTGTCCTCACCGTGTCCTCGTGGAGGTGTGTCTCCTCCTGCAGAGTCGTCCTCGCTGTCGTCCTCAGTGGTGGAGCTGCTCTGAGCTGAAGGTTTGGGTCTCCACCTCCTCATGTCCTTACAGGTGGTGTAGGGGGGAACTGCAGAGGACAGACAGTTCACTCAGGAGGACCAGGAGGACCAGGAGGACCAGGAGACATCCTCATCAGGATCATTTGGATTGATACTGATATAATTATTGATAAAGACAGTTCCTCATGATTTCCCATGATGCTCTGTCAGTGTCTTTGTCCCCAAACCAGACGAGCAGATAAGAGTTCTTAAAACCATCATTTTTAACTTTTTCTGACTCAAATCTCTGAAACACCTTCAGCTCTGATCATTAAAACAGTAATCAATAATAAATCTGATGTTTTTCCCTTTTTATGTCAGTTTCTGTTCATCATGTCATATTTATTGATAAAGTTTTCGTTCTGAGTCTGTTGGAGCAGAAAAACTCGACATTTTCTCCTCCTTTTCTCGAACCTCAGATCGACCAAATCAAGTATGATCAAATTCATGTGTTCATAATAAATTAATGTTATATATAAACATATAAAATCAGCAGATCTCTGTAAGACAGGAATCATTTCTGAGTGTTTATCCTCCTCTAACTAAAATCTGACCCTGATTACTCTGATATAAAAATAACTGCTGATTTCAGATGTGATATCTTCTCCCCTGATGATCTGAAGGACCTGTTCATCCTCATGCATGTCCATCCACCAGAGGAGGAACCGAAGGGTTAAAGACCTGAACCAGAACCGTCTCTGAGCCCTGATGGACTCCAACACCTGCTGACGATGAGGATGAAGAAGATCTGACTCACTGTGGCGCTTGCTCTCGTTCACTTTGCTGACCAGCAGGACGGCCTTCTGGTCCACGCCCATCCGGTCTTTATTTGGTCCAAACAGCTTCTTCATGTAGCGCTCTGACACACACACACACACACACACACAGAGCGGGTCAGTACACCTGAACACAGCGAGCCTCAGCTGATCACCTGGAGTCTCTGAGGGAAATCTGAACCTGTGGCGGCGCTGACGTCCTGGTCTGAGCTGTTCTCAGAGCAGCCAATCAGCTGCAGGTTATACGACAGGACGTCCTGAAACAGCTGGTTCGGGGTCAGCGTGCAGTTCCTCATGTGCTGCCTGAAAAAAACACAAACCGTCACCAAGAGAAACTCCGAACACGGCGAGAGGAGAGTCTGAGAGGAAACGCCGCCTGACCATGTGCAGTGGTCGTCGTTACAACTTCCTGTGAGGTCGAAGCGACAGAAACACTTGGAGGGTTCGATGGCGTTGCTGTAGGTCACAGAACTCAGAGACAACTTCTCCTTGGTCCTGTAGAACGGGCTGAACCTGAAACACACACACACACACACACACACACACACACACACACACACACACACACACATCATCCATGAATGAGGTCCAGACTGAACCCTGCAGAGACCTGGACCTGGTCTGAGGTGGACCGAGGAGACATGATGTACGTGTGCGCGATAGTCACATGTCAGAGTGACTCTGCATGTGCTGTGCAACATCCACCAATCACATTCGTTCTTTAATTAGTAGCCAATCAGACTACCCTGCCAGCTGTCAATCAAATCGAAGAGGAGGAAACCACGCCCCTCCACTCGGAGTGAGTCGCTGGTGCTGACGGTGTTGTGCTGAGAAACACTGAGAATGACTTAAATCGTACGTTTCCGTGGACCACTCGACTACGAGCGTTTCTGCGAGGTGGACGTGATTCTCAGCACGACATCGGAAACAACGACAACGATTGAAAAATGAGAAACGAACCGAAGACGAAGACTTGATGGTAAAAAGAAAAGTCAGTTATCTGGAATTATTTCAGTTCTAAGAAGGATGAAAACACGAGTTCTGTGTTCATCTGTTTCCACGGTAACACGGTCCCAGATCAGAGCAGGTTGACTGTCCTCAAGACGTCAGCAGAAACTCAGATTCTGATCATCTGAGGAGGAAAATTCTTCTGTTTTTGAAATTTCCTCGTATTTTTCTCGGTTTAAAAACAACAACGTCAGTTTTTCTCCTGAACTCTAACGCTCTTCTGACATCTGGACCAAGAACTGGAAATCCTAGATGCTGCATCCTCAGTTTTAAACTAGATCTCCAGGTTTAGGAGGAACATCTGCGTCCATCCAGACCAGGACTTTTTCAGAGAAGACCTTCATCTGATCCAGAACCAGCACGGTGCTGTAGGAGGAGAGTCCTGGACTGATGAGGTCCTGACCCCAAAAACAGGACCAAGGAGACCCTGACCTGTTTCTCTTTTGTGGTGGTCTGAGAGGTCCTGAATAAAAATGACCCTTCAGGGCCTCCGTACTCTCCTGTTGGTTGTTGTATTGATGGATCAGCTGATCATAGATTATAGATTATAGGTGCTGATGTGGTTTTTACCTGTAGGACCTGAAGACCAGCAGTGGACTGTGATACGCTTCGAAGGGAACCGGCCGCGACTCGCTGCTTCCTGATTGGCTGGTCGATGTGTCCATCTCCGTTAACGCCACCTGGACGAAGAGACAAAAATCAACAAGAAAGAACCGACATGTCTGCTGTCCTGTCTCTCTGTCAGCCAATCAGACGGAGCTTTAGAGCGATCAGACAGCCGTGACCCTAAAGGAACTCATGACAGTGGAGGACTTGGACCCGTGTCCTTAAACCCGCCCCTCTCTGCGTTTGTCCCGGAGGAGGAACTTCATAAACTCTCGTCTTTAATGAACCTTCTCTCTGATGATCTCAGATTATCTCAGTATCACAGATGAAAACACGATCATCGTCAAACTTTGAAGCTGCTTCTTCTAAAAATGTCCTTTAGCCCCGCCCATCAGCCTGTAGGGCGGTGGAGGGGAGGGGCCTCTGACAACCATCCTCCACAGAAAAACCTCGTTCACATTTTTAACATCACTCAGGTTCTGGAACGGTCTCAGTCTTCGTTAGAAATGATGAAACTGTAACTCAGATCTGAGACCAGGACCTCTGAGACCAGGACCTCTGAGACCAGGAGCTCTGAGACCAGGAACTCTGAGACCAGGAGCTCTGAGACCAGGAACTCTGAGACCAGGAGCTCTGAGACCAGGAACTCTGAGACCAGGAGCTCTGAGACCAGGAACTCTGAGACCAGGAGCTCTGAGACCAGGAGCTCTGAGACCAGGAACTCTGAGACCAGGAGCTCTGAGACCAGGAACTCTGAGACCAGGACCTCACAGCTTCTGCAGCTCCTGGTCTCAGATCATCTCCCTCTGTCCCCCCAGCAGTGAACCTGTTAGGGGTCCTACCTGTCCAGGTGGGGTCTGGTCCACCCGTCCTCTCATGTGGTTCAGCTCTCGGTTCAGCAGGTCCCCCAGTCTGGGCTGCTGCTGGTCCCTCAGCCTCAAAGCCTCCAGGTCCAGACCTTCAAAGACCTCCACAGGGGGGGTGGAGCTGATGGGGCTGGAGGAGGTCTTGGTGGTCTTGGAGGCAGTGGCGTCTTTAGCGGGGGTGGAGCTGAGCTGCTCCAGGTTTGGTTTGGTGAAGGAGCAGCTGGACTGACGGAGGGAGCGTCTGCGGGGGGGCGTGGCGGCGGCGGCGTTGGCAGCTGCAGGCGTAGCTGCAGGTGGAGGGGCGGACTCTGACTCCTGGTCCTCACCCTCAGGGGGGTCCTCGCTGTCCAGGGTGAGTTTGTCTTGGGTGAGGTCATGTAGGGAGGGCTGGGGCAGGGGGAAGGTGGAGGAGGGGGTGGGGGTCTGGGTGTCAGAGGGGGTGGGTGCTGGTGGGTCTGGGGGGGGTCCTCGGTGATGGAGGGCCTGGGCCTCCTTCAGTTTCTGGATCTTCAGAGCGTACTCCGACTCCAGCTGCTGCAGACGCTGTTTCTGAGCGATCAGCTCCGCAAAGTGACGCTCCGACCCGGGGGGGGCGCCGCCGCCGCCGTCCAGGCGCCGCAGCTTCCCCGCCTGAGGGGGGGGTCAGAAGGTCTTTATTAGTTTACAGATTACCCCAAAATAATCTGATTATAATCTGATCAGAACCTGAACATAATCTGATTAGACTGGAATACTGCAGTATATGTGTAATACTACAGTATTTGTGTAATACTACAGTATATGTGTAATACTACAGTATTTATGTAATACTACAGTATATGTGTAATACTACAGTATATGTGTAATACTACAGTATATGTGTAATACTACAGTCTTTGTGTAATACTACAGTATTTGTGTAATACTGCAGTATTTGTGTAATACTACAGTATTTGTGTAATACTGCAGTATTTGTGTAATACTGCAGTATTTGTGTAATACTACAGTCTTTGTGTAATACTACAGTCTTTGTGTAATACTACAGTCTTTGTGTAATACTACAGTATTTATGTAATACTACAGTCTTTGTGTAATACTACAGTATATGTGTAATACTACAGTATTTGTGTAATACTACAGTATTTGTGTAATACTGCAGTATTTGTGTAATACTACAGTATATGTGTAATACTACAGTCTTTGTGTAATACTACAGTCTTTGTGTAATACTACAGTATATGTGTAATACTACAGTATATGTGTAATACTGCAGTATATGTGTAATACTACAGTATATGTGTAATACTGCAGTATATGTGTAATACTACAGTATTTGTGTAATACTACAGTATTTGTGTAATACTACAGTATTTGTGTAATACTACAGTATTTGTGTAATACTACAGTATATGTGTAATACTGCAGTATATGTGTAATACTACAGTATATGTGTAATACTACAGTATATGTGTAATACTACAGTCTTTGTGTAATACTACAGTATTTGTGTAATACTGCAGTATTTGTGTAATACTACAGTATTTGTGTAATACTACAGTATTTGTGTAATACTGCAGTATTTGTGTAATACTACAGTATTTGTGTAATACTACAGTCTTTGTGTAATACTACAGTCTTTGTGTAATACTACAGTATATGTGTAATACTACAGTATTTATGTAATACTACAGTCTTTGTGTAATACTACAGTATATGTGTAATACTACAGTATTTGTGTAATACTACAGTATTTGTGTAATACTGCAGTATTTGTGTAATACTACAGTATATGTGTAATACTACAGTCTTTGTGTAATACTACAGTCTTTGTGTAATACTACAGTATATGTGTAATACTACAGTATATGTGTAATACTGCAGTATATGTGTAATACTACAGTATATGTGTAATACTGCAGTATATGTGTAATACTACAGTATTTGTGTAATACTACAGTATTTGTGTAATACTACAGTATTTGTGTAATACTACAGTATTTGTGTAATGGATCCCCTCACCTGGTTCTGACCCGGGTCGGCTCTGCGTTTGGACCCTCGTCCTGCAGCTGTCTGAGCCTGAACCAGTTCCTGCTCCAACCGAACAGCTACACCCTTCTTCAGGGAGACCCTGTGCTCCACACGGTTCACCTGGGGGGGGGGCAGGTGAAGTCAGAGGTCAGGGGTCAGGGGTCAGAGGTCAGAGGTCAGAGGTCAGACATGCTGGACTGACAATTTTTACAAACTGACCACAAACACCTGTGTGTGTGTGTGTGTGTCTGTGTGTGTGTGTGTCTGTGTGTGTGAGTGTGTGTGTCTGTGTGTGTGAGTGTGTGTGTGTGTGTCTGTGTGTAAGTGTGTCTGTCTGTGTGTGTGTTTCTTTCAGGTGTTTCGTACCTGCACTCTACTGAGCAGAAGAATTAACTTTCTCTGACAGACACTGAACTCTGATCCACTTACAGTGTTAATGAGTGCACACACACACACACACACACACACACACACACACACACACACCACAACTTTGGACAGCTCTTTGACATCTCAGCTGTCAGTCTCATGACTGACAGCTGTCACAAATGGATCAAACACACCTAACCAATCACCCTCTCCTCCTCCTCCTCTCTCTCCTCCTCCTTCTCCTCCTCCTCCTCCTCCTCCCTCTCCTCCTCCCTCTTCTCCTCCACCTCCTCCTCCTCCTCCTCCTCCTCCCCCTCCCTCTCCTCCTCCTCCTCCTCCTCCCTCTCCTCCTCCCTCTTCTCCTCCACCTCCTCCTCCTCCTCCTCCTCCTCCACCTCCTCCTCCTCCTCCTCCTCCTCCTCCTCCACCTCCTCCTCCTCCTCCCCCCTCTCCTCCTCCTCCTCCCTCTCCTCCTCCTCCCTCTCCTCCTCCTCCTCCTCCCCCCTCTCCTCCTCCTCTTCTCTCTCCTTCTCTCTCCTTCTCTCTCCTCCTCCTCCACCTCCTCCTCCCTCTCCTCCCTCTCCTCCTCCTCCTCCTCCTCACCTGCTCCTGCAGCTTCTTGAGGAGCGTCCTGTTGGCGCTGACGATCTTCTCGGAGGCCTGCAGCTGCTCCCTCAGCCTGAGGACCTTCCCCTCGGCGACCCTCAGAGACTCCTTCTTCTTCAGCTCCTGTTGGAGGAGGTGTTTCAGCACCACCTCGTCCCGCTGCAGCAGCTCTCTGGAGGAGAAGAAGATCACAGATCTGAACCTTCGAACCCTCAGAGGAGAAACCTCGGAGGAGGTCCGGACCCTCAGACTGACCTGTGTTTGTTGAGTCTCTTCTGCGCCTCCGTCAGGCGGAGCTCCGCAGCAGATCTGGACGAAGGAGCGCTCACAGGTTCAGTGACGGCAGGAGGAACCCGGGGAGCCGTACTGTGGTCTTTGAGCGCTCGCTGTTTCTCCCTGCTGATTGGTGGACAGGATCGAGAGCAGGTTAATGATGAAGCAGCAGAGACGGCTGAGACAGGTGGACAGATGGACAGGTGGACAGATGGACAGATGGACAGGTGGACAGATGGACAGATGAGACAGATGGATGGATGGACAGATGGACAGGTGGACAGGTGGACAGATGGACAGATGAGACAGGTGGACGGATGGACAGATGGACGGATGGACAGATGGACAGATGGACAGACGGACAGGTGGACAGGTGGACAGATGGACAGGTGGACAGATGGACAGGTGGACAGGTGGACAGGTGGACAGATGGACAGATGGACAGGTGGACAGATGGACAGATGGACAGGTGGACAGGTGGACAGGTGGACAGATGGACAGGTGGACGGATGGACAGGTGGACAGGTGGACAGATGGACAGATGGACAGGTGGACAGATGGACAGATGGACAGGTGGACAGATGGACAGGTGGACAGATGGACAGGTGGACAGGTGGACAGATGGACAGATGGACAGGTGGACAGATGGACAGGTGGACAGATGGACAGATGGACAGGTGGACAGATGGACAGGTGGACAGGTGGACGTACCTGTTGATCTCCTCTCTGAGCAGACGGTACTCTGCTTTCTTGTTCTCAGGAAGAGCTTCTGGAGTCCTCAGAGGGTTGTTCTCCTTCTCAGATCCTGAAGCAGCTTTTGGCTTCGCTGCCTGAAAGAGACGAGGACACGTGAGGACTCTGAGACTGAGGGGAGGAGGTCTGATGGGGGGCGGGGTCAGGTGGCGACTCACCTCCACCGTCCTGCGAGCCTCTTTGATCATGAACTCCAGACCTCCAAAGGCGGTCTGAGACGAGCTGCAGAGATCCGGGTCGGAGTCACTGTCGTCTGAGTCCATCAGAGACACGACCACGGACTTATGACGAGGAAGCTGCAGAGACAGAGACACACACACACACACAGGTAAACCAAAACACGACCACATCATCACTCCGACGGCGTGTTGCTCCATCGGCCTACGTCCCTGAGGTCAGCTGATCATCAGAACGTTGACAACAGAACGTTCTGGGCTGCGTCTCCCAAACCGTGGAGGTTCAAACACTCGTTCAGACCCGAGTTCGTGTGACCTCTGATTTTATTCCATTTTTAATGTTTTTCTGTTTCTTCTTTTAAACTTTATTGAGCAAAATTTTGATGAACTGGAAAATTTTTAAAATGTTTTTATAGAAAAAAGTGAAAATAAAGAGAAAAGAAACGAGAGTCTGAGTGTGTCTGTGTATGTGTGTCTGTGTGTGTGTGTGTCTGTGTGTGTGTGTCTGTGTGTGTTTGTGTTTGTGTTTGTGTGTCTGTCTGTGTGTGTGTGTCTGTGTGTATGTGTTTGTGTATGTGTGTGTGTCTGTGTGTGTGTGTCTCTGTGTGTGTGTGTGTCTGTCTGTTTGTGTGTGTCTCTGTGTTTGTGTGTCTCTCTGTGTGTGTTTGTGTGTGTGTCTCTGTGTGTGTGTGTGTGTGTCTCTGTGTGTCTCTGTGTGTGTGTCTCTGTGTGTGTGTGTGTGTGTGTCTGTCTGTGTGTGTCTCTGTGTGTGTCTGTGTGTGTCTCTGTGTGTGTGTCTGTCTGTCTCTGTGTGTGTGTGTGTGTGTGTGTCTGTCTGTCTGTGTGTGTCTCTGTGTGTGTCTGTGTGTGTCTCTGTGTGTGTGTGTGTGTCTGTGTGTGTTTGTGTGTGTGTGTGTGTGTGTGTCTCTGTCTGTCTGTGTGTGTCTCTGTCTGTCTGTGTGTGTCTCTGTGTGTGTGTCTCTGTGTGTGTCTCTGTCTGTGTCTGTGTGTGTCTCTGTGTGTGTGTGTGTCTGTCTGTGTGTGTCTCTGTGTGTGTGTCTCTGTGTGTATGTGTGTGTCTCTGTGTCTCTGTGTGTCTGTCTGTGTGTGTCTCTGTGTGTGTGTCTCTGTGTGTATGTGTCTGTCTCTGTGTGTCTCTGTGCGTGTCCCCTCCTCACCACCAGGGGCGCTCTGCTGCTGTGGTGTCCTCTGTTGAACTTGTTGGAGTGTGATGGAGGGACCGTGTTCAGACTGACGGTGCTCAGGTTTCCTCTCAGGAGGGTGGGGGCTGCAGGAGGAGGAGGACCACCGGGGGAGGGAGGAGCGCTGGAGCTCCTCTCCTGCTGAGACAGAGACAGACTCAGTGAACTACAGCCCCCCCTGCTGCTCAGAGCTGGAACTGCAGCCTGACATGCTGAGTTTACTGATGGGGGGGAGGGTCTGACCTGGGGGAGGAGGGGGACTCTCTTGTTGGCCATGGACATCAGGCAGGTCTCCCTCAGCAGCATCTCCTCCTCCTCCTCTTCATCAGCAAAGGGAGGTTTGGGGGGGGGCTCCAGCTCGTCAGGGGGAGGGGGCAGAGGGGGAGGAGGGGGAGGAGCAGCGGACATCAGAGGGGAGAGGAAGGGCTGGGGGGGGGGTGAGAGAGAGAGATCAGCTGATTTTACTCCGTCTCCATGACAACACTGAAGGTGTAACCCGGGGCAACCTCCACTTCCTGTCTGCGTCTAGAACGCAGCTCGACAGTCTAGCCCCCAATTTCCACCGCATCTGGAACGGCTCCAATCCGACATGGCGGCGATTTTCCCCGTACGCCAATTTCTATCGGATCTGTTTGTGTCTGTGCCCGACTTCCTTTCCAGCAGTCCGGCGTCCGGCGATCCGCAGAGGAACGGAAAGAAGTCGGTGTAAATTGACACGTTAACTTGAATGGTTACGATCAGCTACGATCGGAGGATACGACCTTTTAGGAGACGATCAGGATGAAGGTGGAGGTTGTAGGACACTTCCTGTTTGAGCCTTCAACAAGTCCTACAACGACCCAACGACCGAGGACTAACCCTGTTGTTGTGAGGAGGACTGCAGGGTCCGGTTTTCGGACCCTCTCACGAAAAGTCGAAAAAGCCGATTTCTCTAAAGTCGTGAAACTCGCCTCACAAACGGATCCGGTAAGAATCGGCAGACGGGGCAAATCGCTTCTGTTCCTGATGTGGTGAAGATTGGGGGTTACAGAGTGTAGTATGACACAGATCGACAGGGGGCGTACCGTTCCAAAAGGCTGGGGGGCGTTTACAAAGACCGCCACCTGAGGTAAACCAACGCCATCCTCTGGAGGGAGCGGGTGAGACGGAGACGGAACTAAAAGACAGAAGACGGGGGAGGGGGGGACAGCTGTTATCTCTATGAGGAGGTCCGGACTGAACCCAGACCAGGACCAGGACCAGGACCAGCCCCCCTTACCTGGTGAACCTGTTTCACTGTCCGTATCCATGGCAACCTCATCATAGTTGTCATACTGGTAGAGGTTTCCTGATGAGTCCAGACCCTGTTTACCCGAGGACTTCCTGTGTTCACGCTCTCTGGACTGTAACACACACGTGCACACGCACACACACACACACGTGCACACACACACACACACACATGAGTAACTGATCTGCACATAAACAGTCCATATAAGCTGAAGGTCTCAGGAGGGGGCTGGTGTGTCTCCTGACCTTGCTCCTGGTCCGGCTCCGCCCCCCCACCAGCTTCATGAAGCGGTTGTATTGCTCGTCCTGATTGGACAGATCTCGGATGCGGCGGATCTCCTCCTCTCGTTTGCGTCGCTCCTCCTCCTCCTCCTGCTCCCTCTGCTGCTTCCACGTCCTCACCTGCTGCTTCCTGAACGCCTGCTTCGCCGCCGAGCCTGACATACACACACACACAAACACACACACACACACACACACACACACACACACACACACGCACACACACACACACACACACACACGCACACACACACACAGACAGACACAAACACAAACACACACAAACACACACACACACACAAACAAACACACACACACAAACACACACAAACACACACACACACACACAAACACGTACAAACACACACACACACACACACACACACAGAGGGTAAAGATGAAGATCAGGTCCAGTCTCCTGAGGCCTGGACTACGAAGCTGGATTAACAAATCCAGGATAACTCTGCGACAACTCGCTAAACTTCACCGGATCTCCGGGATCCGGATCAGCTGTACTACGAAGCAGGATATCAACTCGATAACTGAATCCAGTTCAGATCTGTGCGCGCACACGTAAAGGGGGCGGGGTCAGTGCCACCGGACCAATCTCCACAATGGAGAAGGCTGCACGTCATTTTTCACAGCTGAAGAACAGAGCTTTATTTAAACAGTGAGACAGACACAGCCGCTAAAAGCCGGAGGGACTGCCGGCACAAAAAATCACCGGTTGTGTAAATGACATTTGTGCGTTCATAAATTTATGGCCCCCTAATATGTTGTCATGCAGCGTGTGTGATCACCACCATCACTGACCTCATTATTTCAGATACAACAGCAGTGGGGAAAAGAGTAGGTGGGAGCAAATAAAAATAAATCTAAAAACATCCTTTTAAGTAGTTTGTAAGTTTATTGGAAGATTTTATTTGTACATATTTCAACGCGTAAACAGTGATTTCCTCACACTGCCTTTTTTTTCCTCCATCATCTGATGGTCACGTCATCTGCAGACACATTTGGGGTTAAGAGTTTTCTAATCTGCTTCAATAAATTCTGAATGATGACTAACAAATTTGAACCTGGAGCTTGGCAAATATTAGTGCATTGCTTAGACTTCATGCTACTGAATATTGAGGCCGTCCGAGGAAAACCTGTAGCGTTCATAGAGAACGTCATCAGGTAAATCAAACGGATTTGAACGATCATGAATATAACGCTCTCGGCGGAGCGCTCCTCTCACTATCCGTGCAACGATGTCCCCGGGATCCGGCAAAAGTGGGCAAGACATTTTCCAAGAGATCCGATTGGTCATTGGGCGGTTTTTTATACCTGCTGAGATCTTATCCTGAAACATAACCTGCTCCGGAGCAGGTTTGGCGTTCCGCGTAAGTTACCGGGGCAACGGACCCGGATAAAAAGAGATCCACCTTCGTAGTACAGAAAACCCAGAAGTTATCCAGAAGTTATCTCGCTAAGACCAAATCCAGCTTCGTAGTACAGGCCTCAGGTCTCTAGTTCCTGATCTGGACTCTCCTGGTTTCTAAACAGTTCGTTTGTTTTTAGTGTTCTGGACGTTACCGTGGAAACTGATGAACACAGAACTCGTGTTTTCGTCGACGTCATCCTTCTTAGAACTGAAATAATTCCAGATAACTGACTTTTCTTTTTACCATCAAGTCTTCGTCTTCGGTTCGTTTCTCATTTTTTAATCGTTGTTTCCGATGTCGTGCTGAGAATTGCGTCCACCTCACAGAAACACTCACTAGTCGAGTGGTCCACAGAAACGTACGATTTAAACCCGTAAAGTTCTTATTTGTGGAGATAAACAGTGAGGAGGAAAGTCTCCAAAGTCACTCTCAGCGGACACGCGGTTCTCAGGTCTGAGTCCTAAAAAGTCCAACAATCAGATTTTCTGGTTGGACCCTGAAACCCTGAACCCCCAACCCTGGGACAGCTTCTCCTGATCAGAACAACACCAATCAATATCATCAATATATCAAAATAATCAATATAATCAATACATGACAGGTCTGCTCACCTGGACTGATCACCTTCTTCACCGTCTGAAGTTTCCCTGCTGCTCTTCCTCGCTCTGCTGCCCCTCTGGGACCAGCCTGGGGACTGGGTTTGGGACTGGGCTTGGGGCTGGGTTTGGACCTGTCCCTGTCAACAGGTCTGGTCCCACTGGTCTTGGTTCTGTCCCAGTCTCTGGTTCTGCCTCGCTCTGCAGCAGCTGAGGAGGAGGAGGAGGACCTGGTGACTCTCTGCCTGCTGGGAGGAGTCTGCGCTGGACCTGACCCTGGTTTCTGTCCCGGTCCAGGTTTCTGTCCCGGTCCAGGTTTCTGTCCCGGTCCTGAGCCCTTGTCTTGGACGGTCTTGGTGATCCGGTCTTTGCTCCTCTTCATCACTTGCTGCTCCTTCTGCTGCCACTTCTTACTGGCCGACTGCAGAGCCAGTAGGCGGAGCTGCAGCTCGGACAGCTCCTCCTCCTCCACCCGGACCTCCAGCTGCTCACAGCACACACACTGATCTCACACACACACACACACACACACACACACACACACACACACACACACACACACACACACACAGGAAATGGTTTTTCATTAGATGATTGATGAACTGTAAACGTCGGTCTTGATTTTCGTTTCCTGCGGCGTCTTCGCCCTCGGCGGTCGAGGTTCTACTTCCTGTTTGTGTTTCTTCACCTGGATGGCGTGGACTCACCTTGTCTGAGGAGACGTGTGAGTCCTCGCTGGAGGCTGACGAGTCTCTGACTGACGGACTCGTTTTCTTCATCTCCTCCTGCAGCACACACACACACACACACACACACACACACACACACTCAGGGTTACACTTGTATCATATGTGTGGATTCGTCCAATCAGAGCCCCTCGTGACGTCCTGCGGTGGACTCACCTCAGTGGCAGAGACGGTGGCGTCCTCTCTGACTCTGGGACATGTGGTTTTTTCCTCCTCCTCCTCCTCTGCTCTCACCTGTCCTTCTCTCTCCTCCTGCTCACCTGCAGATACACACACACACACACACACACACACACACACACACACACACACACACAGGTAAGTTGTCTTCATGGATGCACACAAACTCCGCCCACTGACACACAGACGTGTCCTCCTCCCCAACACTAGGGGGCGATATGGGTCTTTACAACCGTCAACAACAACAGCAGGTCGGTGTCAGACGTCAGAAGTGTCTACAACTGCTGCTGGAGAAACAAGAAGATGGAGCATCGTACAGCGTTGTTTTTGTCCGACATGATGGACGCGCTACTTTTTCTAAAGAGGAGACCAACGCTACTCCTCTACTCTGGGGGTTTGTTACGGGGTTACGGGGGCGTGGCGTCATACTCCGACTACGCTGGTTACATGGAAGAGAAAATCGAATTCCAATCTCATTATCTGTGTGTCTTAATCAGAGTTCTTAAACTCTGATTATAGTCGGACTAAGATGTTCACATGACCTTCAGTTGTCCGGTCTTTATCGGAATATGGCGATAATTCGGTTTTCTCGAGTGTCATGGAAACGGACTGAGTGACTTACAATTCTACGTTGAAAGGACAACTGGACTTAGTTGAGACGTTTCAGGCAAAATGCCTCAACTAAGTCCAGTTGTCCTTTCCACGCATTGATTCCCACTCCAGAGTCATGTGACTAACCTGTTGGACAACGTTGGTTTGAAATCATCTGAAAACCATAAAAATCGGTTTTATTTCCGATCATTTTAACCCTTAAATGTTGAACTCTCTGTGCGCCTCGTCAGGTTCTCTACTCTATCATCAACTGAAGACCTTCATAAAACCCACCGAAGCTCCGCCCCTCTGACGGCTGACAACTCAATGATTGGACCGTTATAATCATCACTGCTCACCTTCCTCAGTCCCGCCTCCTGTCTTCTGTTGCTCCGCCCACTTCCTCCTCAGCTGGTCCAGGACTGAGGGGGTGGGGAGTTTCTGTCGTAGAGGTTTGATGTTGAACGCCTGAAAGACTTTCTTCTCCACCGTCTCGGACTCACACCCAGGCTCTCCTGGTCCCTCTGGTTCTGGTTCTGGTTTGGTCTCTGTAACACTGGCAGTATGGAGGTCCGGGACGTGGTCTCTGGCAGGGGAAACTTGGGGGTCCAGAGCCATGGTCTCCTCTTTGCGGATACACTCCAGCTCCAGCTGGATCTGTTTGTACTTGGACAGGAGGTCCTCAAAGGACTCCTCTTCACCTGAGTCCACTTTGGAGACACTGTGGGACAGTTTTCGCACCTGAGGCCTCCCTAAAGGTTTTTCTGGGTCACATGGTCAAGAAAGTACAACCTTAAAAGGCCCACGGAGTCCCAGACCTCAGAGAGAGTCCAAGACTGTGGGACCGTGAAAAAACATGATAGCAGCAAAAAAATCCCTTTAAATGATAATAAATAAAAATAGTAATAATTAATAATAATAATAATAATAATAATGATAATAAGATAAACAGATTCATTTCCTCTGTTCTATCTATTATGAGAATTTAATAATAATCAATATAAATCTGATTAAATGACTTCATGACTGTTTCAGATCTTCTTGTTAGTTTTTTGGTTTTCAACAATAATATTGATCATTTTAATATAATTAACAGGATACGTTTCCTCTGCGGGGACTCTCCCGGACCTCCGTGGATCTCTCCGGGGCCGTACCTTCCTGGAGGCCCTCTGAGGGCTCCGCTCCCCCGGCTCCCTCGGCTCCAGTTCCCCCGGCCTCCGTTGGCCATCCCCCGGTGTCTGAAGCGGCCCAGGGCTCCGTGGCTCCGCTCCCAGAAGCTGCCCCTCGGGCTCGGTTCTCCGTGAGGACCGAGTCCCGGCAGCGTAAGCAGCGGAGGGGGCGGTGAGGGCGGCCGGTCCGGCCCGCTCGGCCCGCACTGCTGCCGGTGGTTCGGGGGGAAAGGTCCGCGGTTGTACGGCATGAGCAGGCGGAAGTCCGGCGGCGGGAAGCCCGGGTGTGGATGTTGGCGAGGTTTCCGGGGCCTCCGTGGAGCCCCGCCGCGGGGCCTGCTCCCCTCCCCCCGCCGGATCGGACCTCTGTCCTCGGCCTCATCGTCGCAGATCTCTCCGTCCTCCAGCTCCCCGTCCTCCCCGGGAGAACCGGAACTCTTTAAATCCATCCGAACTGAGTGAATGTCGGCCTGGTTATCAGCTGTCTGCGGGGGGATCACGCACAGAGATCACGCACAGGTAATAACAGGTAGATTATAACGTCATTCTGACTGATCGGAGAATCACTCTCACCGTCAGATCGATGCTAACTGCTAATGCTAGGCTGTCTCAGGCAACTCTCGCGAGACAACAAGTTCTTCTTCTTCCTCTTTTTGTTTTATGGCGGTTGGTAACCTGCTCTTGGCGCATTACCGCCATCTGTCCTGGAGTGTGGGTCAGACAAGAATTACAATCTATTCCAGCACTCGAACCATGGACTGTGTTTACTATAATATTCTATATACAGTCAATGACTCGAACCCAGTCCATACAAATAAAGAAACCTCCGGTACTTCTTCCTCTCGTCTCCCTTATTTCACTTCATCTCATCCCGCCTTTCCTCACACTCTTAAAAACACTCACTTTAAAAAACAGACAACGAGGTTTGAAGAAAGCTTTATTTAAAACCAGGTTTTGACAGAGAAAAAACAGAAAAAAACAAAAACTACAGAGAAAACAGAGTAAAGATATTTCTGTGTGATGATCAGGTGACAGTTTGAGACTCAGAGACTTGATTTCGTGGTTTTGGATGATCGTTAATTTAAACTGTAACTTTAAAAACTTTGAGAGTTTTTCTTAGAACGACATAAAAATCTGCTGATTACGTCATCTTTTAGAACCTCTCTGTATTAAACTGATGACGTCAGATCGCGTTCTCAATTATCTAAATTGAAACTTTTTCAAAGATCTGACCCTCCATAAACGGTCAAAGTGGCACTCACTGCGCCTGCGCGGAGCTCTCAAACGGAAGCTGACTTGTCCGTTTTGTTTTGGTTCTGACAGTCACGTGAGTAGCTGACGTCATTAGAGGAAAGGCGACATGGCGGCGGACAGTTTGGTGAAGGTAAAAACATGTTCTTATTCTCCTTTTTCTCTTCCGGTTACAGGTGTAGAGTCCGCAGGGCTCGCGTGATCACTCAGACAAGCTCACGCGGGTTATTAGTGAAATGTTCCTTCGATCTGAAACTCAGCTGATCAGTCAGCTAACAGGTCAGCTAACAGGTTAGCTAACAGGTTAGCTTTAGCTGCTCTGCTCTGCTGCTGTCACATCATGAGCTGAGAGAGGGGCACGAGCGCAGGTACCAGCAGAGTCCGAGTGTGAAACTGTCTCACCTGAGTCCACCGAGTCCTCCAGGTGAGTCCCCTGACCGAAGCTAAAGACCGGCTAACTGTTAGCGTTAGCCTCCAACCAGCAGAGCAGAGCTAGCTGTGGTTGTTTACAGAGGGGCCGGGGGGGGGGGGGGGCGCGAGGACAGGTGTGAGGCACTGTGACAGGTGAGCTCAGTCAGCTGACCGTCAATGACGTCAGTCCCATCACAGATAGGTGACAGCTGAGGACCTACATGAGGACACTTTGTTTACAATCAGACAACACCATGACGTCACGGAGAGGAGGCGGAGACTCTGCAGACCTGGTCTAACAGGGACCCTGGTCTAAAAGTGACCCTGGTCCAACAGGGATCCTGGTCGAACATTGATGGCTCGGTTCCTCTCTGTAGCAGGTTCTGGTCTGATGGTTGCGGTGTTTGGAGTCTTGTGATAGCGGTGACCATGGAGGTTGCCACGGTAACCCCTCAGCTTGTCATGTCTGAATCATTTGTGTGTGGGGGGGTTGTAGTCTTGCAGGTAAAGGGTGAAAAACTACAAACATGGACTGACGGGTGGGGTCAGCTGACTCTTTCTGATGTCGGCCATGATTCCTCCAGAGGTCAGCTGACTGTTTCAGAGCACAGAAGAAGAAGAGTCTGAAGTTCTGGTTCTGTCCGTCTTTCAGGTTCTGTTCGAACATGAAGGAGTGTTTATTCACCCGGGGAGCGAGGACCAGGGCCTAGAGCCGGACCTGCTGGTGTCCGGGTCTCTGAGGATCATCGACAAGGTAATAGAGTCTGGACCTGCTCAGTACCTCCTGGTTCTGGTTCCTGGTTCCTGGTTTCTGGTTGACTGACTGTTGTGTCTCCTCTGTGTCAGGATGCAGAGATCATGGTGGACTACAGACCTCTGGAGGACTCGGTGGACCCCACAAACATGCTGTGTGCTGGAAAGGTTAGACCCGGTCCACTCTAGATCCTCCTCCTAATCCCCCACAGAGCTCCAGACCTCATCAGGGTCTAGGGATGGGAATAAGATTTGATCGATATCGATGCCATTATCGATTCTGCTTATTGATTCAATTCTTTAACGATTCCCTTATCAATACCTTTGATTAAAACAGTCGACTTTAGGTTTTCACTGTTAAATCTAAATGTTATTGATAACAGAAACAGACGTCTGCCTCCTTCAGTGAGAGTCTAAAACAATCAAACAGAAATGATATTTATACAGAATTTCATCGTATTTATGTAAACACAGGACATATGTTAGAGTGACCACATTCTGAATCCACAAAAAGAGGACACGACTACGCGGGGCGGACAAATTTTGAGGGTTTTTTTTTGTCGGGTCGAGAGTTTTTTTGTTCTTCTAACTCAGTTAAACACATTATCCTGAATTCCCAAAGACAGCACATGCTGCGTCGCATCAGTGACTTTGTTTAGAAGTGAGCGGAGGGGCGGAGCTGCAGAGAGGACTGATGCTCTGCTCTGTTTTATAATCAATGAAAACACGATCAGGACATTTGAAGGATTTTATTAACTCCCCCGGACAGACCCCCCCCCCCAAAAGAGGACATGTCCGGGTAAAAGAGGACGTATGGTCACCCGTACATATGTACCTTCAACGCCGCGCTGAGACGCAGCAGCAGCGGCTGACGACCGGTGTTCAACAGGTGTTGTGTCGTAGAATGGACCCCTGACGGGAGCGCGGTTCAAAGTTCATAACAAGGTGAAATAATCCGAGTTTTCTTTACCGTTGGACGGATTCAAAAGTGTTTAATGATTTAATTCAGACTATTCAGAAAACAACAGTCCTCTGATTCAGAATATTTAAAGTTCTCTACTTTGACAGTTTACTGTAGAGTTTATAAACTCAAGTTCACCTCTATATGTGAGATTTTAGAGACACATGAAAACAGAACGACAGTTTGCTGCTCCATCTGACATGTTGTCATGATCTAATACTCCTGATTTTTTAAATATTAGATCTTTTTTCTTCCACTTTAAGAAGCTCATGAGTGGAGAGGATACATTCTACTTCATAACAACGGCGGAGAGCGTCGCATACATGTGACTCCTTAGATTTGACGCCGTGCCCCGTTGACAAATGTTCTTGGTAAAATTAAATCACGCTCCAGCTCACTTCTGCCGACTTTTCAACTGTCCGCCATGTTGTTTCCTCTGTCCTTGTTCCCGTTCACATCGACTGGCACACGCCCAGACCGTTTTTAAACGCAGCCGGAAGAAAGGAATCGTTAAGATGTAAATGATGTCGATGGATCGAACCATTTGGAACCGGTTCTCAACAAGAACCGGTTCTTGATTGTCATTCTTATCAGGGTCAGACCCAGATCAGGTTCCTCCTGAAGGTTTTTGGTTGTTTTGGCGTTTTCTCCACATTTCAGAAACTTTAAAAAAGACTTTTTGAAATCGTGTTTCAGAGCGGATACATCCGTGAACGACTGTTTGGTCTCTGTGTGGAGTTCTTCAAACCGTTGATGTCGTCTTCTCTAAACCTTCACACACACACACACACACACACACACACACACACACACACACACACACACACACTCCGTACTCTTCTTCTGTCCTTTGGTGCATTACAGCGCCGTCTGCTGACTCAGCATATGCACTACATCCTCTTCAGTGATTTCAGGTGTTCGCAGGTTCGTCCTGAAACGATTCGGACTTTACGTAAAACTTTGTCAAAACAAAGAGATGGTTTTAGTCTGTGTGGATGAGACCTCAGAGTTCTGCTGATGTTACAGCAGGTGGGCTCAATCAGGGGGCACTCACAGTAGGGGGTCTGAAGACAACACGCCACATTTACGCGTCAACACAGAGCAAACATGGAACCTGCAGTGACCCAGTGTTAACACATTAGACCACCAGGGGGCAGCAGAGTCTGAGGGTTCCATGAATGGACCTTGAACTCAGTCCACATTAGTCTGATAGAGCAGAAACAGATCAACCCATCACGACCAGAACCTTCTTCCTGTTTTTACGGGTATGGAATCATCAATTCTGATTATTGATTATTATAAATCTGTGTCTTTGCGGTCAGGACTCCAGCTCAGTGGTGGAGTGGGCTCAGAGTTCAGGTGAACGGTCCGCTCAGCTGTTGGAGACCCAGCAGAGCTATGAGACCGAGTGGGACATGATCAACGCCGTGACCTTCAGGAAGAGAGTCTGCGCCAACGGAGAGGGTGAGAGAGCGCCGTCTGTGACGGTGATGATGGTGATGATGGTGATGATGATTTTGATGATGATGATGATGATGGTGATGATGATGATGACCCGGTCAGAGCCTGCCGACTGCCTTCACAGACGCTCAAAGGGTTAAATCAGTGACCACAGAGGGGGAGGGGCTTATTCCACAGAGCTGTCATACCTGTGGAGAGCCTGACTGATAACATGTGGTCTGGATCTGGGTTCTCTGTGTTTTCTGATCCCTGGTCTCGGTCTGTCAGGCTCTCTGCAGCAGCAGCAGCAGCCCGTCCAGGAGCGCAGCAGGTGGGCGTTCAGCTTCGGCCTTGGCGACCTGAGGTCTGTGGCGGTGAAGGAGGAGGGATGGACCTTCATCATCTTCAGACTGAAGGAGTCCTCCTCAGTGCTGCCTCCTCTGCACTTCCACCAGGGCGGCAGCACTGAGTTCCTGGACAGCCTGAGGAGGTTCGCTATGCTCACAGAGTGAGTACACCTGTCACTCACCTGTCACTCACCTGTCACTCACCTGTCACTCACCTGTCACTCACCTGTCAGACAGGTGTACCTGCAGCGCTGTGACCCTGGTGCTGATTAAACAAACACAGACCAGTTTGATCCGAAACGCAAGATCAGTTTTAATAGGAAACCACACACACACACACACACACACACACACCCTGCAGACACCTTTGTGCGTGTGTGTTTGTGTTTGTGTGTGTGTGTGTGTGTGTGTGTGTGTGTGTGTGCGTGTCTGATACCTGTTATTAAAGTTCTTATCTGAACCCTTTCACAATAAAAGCCTCGATTAACAGACGGAAATTTGCAGCCTCACAGTGTAGTGACATCACAGACTGTCTGCAAGCTGATTGGCTGAGACCTCGTCATTCTGTCACAACAAACAACAAAGCCGACATGAAATCAGCTGTTTGTATGTGTGTGTGTGTGTGTGTGTGTGTGTGTGTGTGTGTAGGTCAGCAGATGATGTGTCATGTCTGATGGTCAGCACACCAAACAAAGCTCTGTCCCAGTCCTTCGAGAACCTGCTGGATGACAACAACTTTGGACTGGTGCACGTAAGAAACACACACTCACTATAATACACACACACTCACTGTAAAACACACACATCATAAACACAAACATAAACACTTCAAACCTGAAGAAGAAGAAGAAGATGGTCGTTCTAAAGGCGTGGCGGTCTTTAAAACCTGGACTCCTGATTGTGGCGCCTAACCGACTCTCCTTGTCGCTGACAGAAGTTCAAGAAGGACCCGTATGTGACCACACTGGGCGGGTTCTCCAAAGTCACCAACTACATCTTTGACGCCTTCCGGGGGACAGAGGAGCAGCACCAGCGCCCCCCAGAGGAGGTGGCTGACCTGCTGGGAGAGGTGATCCCTGGACTGGAGATCAACCAACAGGAGGAGCCGGGCTTCGAGGTCATCACCAGGGTGAGAGGAGGAGGAAGAGGGAGGAGCCATGGTTAGAGAGGAGGTCAGTGTTTAATTCTCGGCTCTAACCCTCAGTGTGTGTGTGTGTGTGTGTGTGTGTGTGTGTGTTTCCTCTCAGATCGACCTGGGGACTCGGCCTCAGGTGATCAGGGGGTCACCTGTGTCAGTGGAGGACTGGACCAAACAGCAGGACCAGGAGGGGAGGATGACCAACGTCCCCGAGCTCAAACACGCCATCTTTAAGGGGGCACGTTATTAACCCCACTGTGTTATATGGAACAGATATCATTACCCAGCATGCATTTGTGCTGATCCTGTTTTTCCCGCGTGTGTAGGGTCTGTGCCACGCCGTGAGGAAGGAGGCGTGGAAGTTCCTGTTGGGATATTTTCCCTGGGAGAGTACGACGGAGGAGAGGAAGGCCCTGCAGAGAGCCAAAACGTAACTCACACACACAGACAGACACACACACACAGACACACACAAACACGCACACAGACACACCGTTTAAAAACGGTCTGGCGTGTGCCAGTCGATGTGAACGGGAACAAGGACAGAGGAAACAACATGGCGGACGGTTGAAAAGTCTGCAGAAGTGAGCTGGAGCGTGGTTTAATTTTACCAAGAACATTTGTCAACGGGGCACGGCGTCAAATCTAAGGAGTCACATGTATGCGACGCTCTCCACCGGTGTTATGAAGTAGAAAGTATCCTCTCCACTCATGAGCTTCTTAAAGTGGAAGAAAAATGATCTAATATTTAAAAAATCACGAGTATTAGATCATGACAACATGTCAGACGGAGCAGCAAACTGTCGTTCTGTTTTCATGTGTCTCTAAAATCTCACATTTAGAGGTGAACTTGAGTTTATAAACTCTACAGTAAACTGTCAAAGTAGAGAACTTTAAATATTCTGAATCAGAGGACTGTTGTTTTCTGAATAGTCTGAATTAAATCATTAAACACTTTTGAATCCGTCCAACGGTAAAGAAAACTCTGATTATTTCACCTTGTTATGAACTTTGAACTGCGCTCCCGTCAGGGGTCCATTCTACGACACAACACCTGTTGAACACCGGTCGTCAGCCGCTGCTGCTGCGTCTCAGCGCGGCGTTGAAGGTACGTATGTACGGGTGACCATACGTCCTCTTTTACCCGGACATGTCCTCTTTTGGGGGGGGGGCTGTCCGGGGGAGTTAATAAAATCCTTCAAATGTCCTGAACGTGTTTTCATTGATTATAAAACAGAGCAGAGCATCAGTCCTCTCTGCAGCTCCGCCCCTCCGCTCACTTCTAAACAAAGTCACTGATGCGACGCAGCATGTGCCGTCTTTGGGAATTCAGGATAATGTGTTTAACTGAGTTAGAAGAACAAAAAAACTCTCGACCCGACAAAAAAAAACCCTCAAAATTTGTCCGCCCCGCGTAGTCGTGTCCTCTTTTTGTGGATTCAGAATGTGGTCACTCTAACATATGTCCTGTGTTTACATAAATACGATGAAATTCTGTATAAATATCATTTCTGTTTGATTGTTTTAGACTCTCACTGAAGGAGGCAGACGTCTGTTTCTGTTATCAATAACATTTAGATTTAACAGTGAAAACCTAAAGTCGACTGTTTTAATCAAAGGTATTGATAAGGGAATCGTTAAAGAATTGAATCAATAAGCAGAATCGATAATGGCATCGATATCGATCAAATCTAATCAATTCCCATCCCTAATAAGAACTCTTAAATTTTTATGGTGCCGGTGACTGTGTTGCTGTGTTTCCACGGTAACGTAGGTGGATGTTGTAGCGATGGTGTTGACGCTCTGTTTCCACGGTAACGTAGGTGGAGGTTGCTGTGATGGTGCTGACGCTCTGTTTCCATGGTTACAGGGATGAATACTTCAGGATGAAGCTTCAGTGGAAGTCGGTGAGTGAAGAACAGGAGAGGAGGAACTCTCGACTGCGGGACTACAGGAGTCTGATCGGTGAGGGTCCGGGGTCATGTCTGACACGCTCCATGATGGTCACATGGTCTCAGTCCAGAGGTCATGTGACAGTTTTAAAGTTCTGTTCTGCTCCGACAGAGAAAGACGTGAACCGGACCGACAGGACCAACCGCTTCTATGAAGGTCTGGATAACCCGGGTCTGGTCCTGCTCCACGACATCCTGATGACCTACTGCATGTTTGACTTTGACCTGGGTGAGTCTGACCTCCTGACCTCCTGCTGATCCAGGTCCACCTGACCTGACACTAACCCTGCCCCCCCCACCCTCCTCAGGGTACGTCCAGGGGATGAGTGACCTGCTGTCTCCGATCCTCTACGTCATGGAGAACGAGGTGGACGCCTTCTGGTGCTTCGTGTCCTTCATGGACCAGATGGTGAGGACCAGGACTCAGGATCCTGGGACGGGGACGGGGGGGTGGACATCTATAATACCTGTGTGTGTGTGTGTGTGTGTGTGTCCTCCTGCAGCATCAGAACTTTGAGGAGCAGATGCAGGGCATGAAGACCCAGCTGATCCAGCTCAGTACTCTGCTCAGACTGCTGGACCTGGCCTTCTGGAACTACCTGGGTATGACAGACGTCTCTCACACACACACACCTGAGTTCACCTGTGTCCTCAGTGGAGTGACCTTTGACCTCTGTCCCCCCCTCAGAGGCCCAGGACTCGGGGTACCTGTACTTCTGCTTCCGTTGGCTCCTGATCCGCTTTAAGAGGGAGCTCAGTTTCCAGGACGTTCTGCGGCTCTGGGAGGTCGGTCACATGACCAGTTGGGCTAACAGTCACATGATTGGATGGTTCTGGTGTTCACCTGTCCCTGTATCTGTGTGTGTGTGTTGGGGGGGGGGGGTCTCAGGTGATGTGGACCGAGCTGCCCTGTCAGAACTTCCACCTGCTGGTCTGCTGTGCCATCCTGGACTCAGAGAAACAGAAGATCATGGAGGAGAACTACGGCTTCAACGAGATCCTCAAGGTGACCCTCAGACCCCCCCGCTCTGACTAATGATGATGAAGACGGCTTCCTGTTGAGCTCTGATTGGATCTCTCTGTCTCTGTTTCTCATCACGGCGTCTTTAAACCTCTTTATGTTCGTCTCCGTCAACTTTAACCAGATCTGACCTCCATCTTAGAAAATCAACCTGAACATAAACCCTGACCGCCGACCTCCACCTTCATCCTGATCGTCTCCTAAAAGGTCGTATCCTCCGATCGTAGCTGATCGTAACCATTCAAGTTAACGTGTCAATTTACACCGACTTCTTTCCGTTCCTCTGCGGATCGCCGGACTCCTCAGCTGATCACAAGAGTTCTATTTTTTCTGGAAGCCGGAGCATGGCGGATAAATTCAGCACAGATTAACCCGTGCTGGAAAGGAAGTCGGGCACAGACTTCAAAATAAAACATCTGGCTTCTTTTCAAAATAAAACACTCCGTGTTTCAGGAGGATCGTATTTCACACCATGCAAACGGGCGGAGACGAACAAGTGAAAGGTTTTTAGACGTCATTTCACCCCGATGACACCATGGATGAGGAGATGCTGATTCTAGAAGTCTAGAAGTAGATTTCCTCCTCTGGAAGGACACAATCTACTGCTTATATGTCTATGTGTCTGTCTTTAGAGAGACGACTCGTTATCGTGAGATTGATCGTGAATCTGCGGGTTCTCGTTCAGGTTCTTGTGAGTTCTCGTGGTTCCTGCTGTCCGTGATCCGCCTCACAAACGGATCTGGTAGGAATTGGCGGACGGGGAAAATCGCCGTCTTTGCAGATCGGAGCCGTTCAGGATGCTGTGAAATTTGGGGTTAGAGGCTCCGCCCACAAAGACTTGAACATCAATCTGATTGGCTGAAAATCTTAAGGACAGATTCTCCTCCGTTCACAGACAAACTCAGAACAGGAACAGTACTTCCTGTGAGATTTTTCAAAGTAAAAGTCTGATAGAGGTGATTTTTCTCTGTGCCCAGACGGGGACAGACAGTCCGGTCTTCTTCAGTAAAGGGGGCGTGGTCCAGGGCTCAGGTTCTGACGTTTGTGTGTTTTTGTGGTTTTTTTCAGCACATTAACGAACTCTCCATGAAACTGAACGTTGAAGAAATCCTGCAGAAGTCTGAGGGCATCTGTCTGCAGATCAGGAACTGTAAGGTGGGTTCACAGACCTCAGGGGGACACAGAGACCGGGTTCTGGGAGGAGCTCCCTTTAGTCTCTGTACGTCTGCAGGATCTTGATCTCAATAACCTCCTCTTCTTCCTCCTCCTCCTCTTCTTCAGGATCTCCCTCAGTCCATCAGCGCCATCCTGGGTCTGGACTCGGCGGTCTCTAGTCCTGGTCTGGCAGATCCTGGATCAGGTCCGGCTCTCAGAACGGCTCACAGACCGGATCCCTGCTCCAACGGACTCTTCCGAGAAACCAGCTCCAACAACAAAGTGGCCTTCATATCCTAGTGAACAGAGACTGACCCACAGAGTCAGCGGGGGGGCCCGGACCCCTGCAGGGGGGGAGGAGGAGTCAGAGGAGGAGGAGGAGGAGTCAGAGGAGGAGATCTGAGAAGATGAAGAATCTTATTTTTGTACCATATTGTCTCTTTGATTCAGTCATTCCTCTCTGCTGATGAAGCTCCAAACGCTCCATCAGACCAGGTCTACATCAGACCAGGTCTACATCACTGAGGAGGGGTGGGGTGGGGTCACCTCCTGGACCTGGTCCAGTGTTGAACCTGCCCACAGGAAGTGTGTAAATCTGTTTAAAGATGGCGGCAGGTTTGAACCTTGACCTCAGAATAAAAGTTTCCTGTTGTAGTTTGTCTCATTTCATGTGTGCACGCCATTCTCACTGAAGCCCCGCCCACACAGAGAACGCCATTCTCACTGAAGCCCCGCCCACACAGATAACGCCATTCTCACTGAAGCCCCGCCCACACAGATAACGCCATTCTCACTGAAGCCCCGCCCAAATTGAAGTCCCGCCCACATGGTTCTTTGATGAGAGATTATTTGCTCACAGGCTCCACCCCTCTGTGTGTGTGTGTGTGTGTGTGTGTGTGTGTGTGTGTGTGTGTGTGACACATAAACAACAAACCAGCTGAGGTCAGCAGGAAAAACACACTGACTTCACATGACATCATCAGGTCAGCTCTGATTGGTCAGGTTCACTCACAGGTCAGCTCTGATTGGTCGGGTTCACTCACAGGTCAGCTCTGATTGGTCAGGACTTGACTGTTTGTTTTCAAACACCGACGTTTCCTTTTATTTTGAAATGTCGATTTTTCTTTTTTCCGAACTTTTGAAGCTCAGATCTAACGTTCATTTTTAGAAAGATCGTTATTGTAGGAACGACAGCAGTGGAGGAGGGTCCTGAAGTCCTGCGGTCCAAAGACCAGGATCTGAGGATTACCTTTAAAAATAATGAAAATCCTGAAGTCCTGGATCCTGGAGTCCAGGATACCTGGTTTTGGAATCCCAGGTTGCCTTCTTCTTCTTCCATGAAACCCAGTTTGAGCTCCAGCACTGGTGGATGATGATGATGATGAAGATGATGAAGATGATGATGATGATGGTGGTGGAGTGAAGATGAGCTGATCTTCCTCATAATTCATCTGTTGGCAGAAATGTCAGGAGGCTGCAGACGGACAGACGGACGCTCACTTCCTGTTAAATGTCATTTCAGCTTCTTTCATGTGAGTGATGGACCCCCCCCCCCCTTTGATGAGAGACATTTAGAGCAGGAGGAGGAGGAGGAGGAGGAGGAGCAGGAGGAGGAGGAGGAGGAGGGTATCACCTGAGATCAGCTCATAAAGCTCCTCAGACTCTGAACAAAGCCTCCTCAGCTCTCTGACGCCTCTACGCTCTTTCATTTCCTGTCGGGCAGGAAATTGTCTGAGCTCCCAGCTGATAACACGCCGCCGCCTGCCGCCGCCTGCCGCCGCCACTAATCACCGAGAATCTCCGAGGGTCTGATTGAAGCAGGTCTGTTTGTGAAGAAGACTCAGGCGTTTCCTGTGAAGTCCAGACGGTCAGCTCTGACTGTGAAGATGATTCTCGAACCTTCGATCTCAGGGAGAGTTTCATTAAAACACTTTTACAGAAAGAGGAGATTTCTCTTCATAAGATCAACTTTCAAATTAAAAGAGGTTTTAAAAAGGAAAGACAGAGTCTAAAACATGTGACTGATCTAAACTGGAAGACGAACATCGACTTTAAAAGACTTTAAATGAACAAAATCAGAGTTTAAAAGGTTTGAACAGATTTAATCAGAGTCTGAAAACACGCAGGACTCTTTAATAACAAACACATTTATCCCTCAGACTGAACTTTATTTTTATCATTATAATAATAATAATAATAATAATAATAATAATAATAATAATAATAAAAATTATAATAATAATAATATTAATAACAATAATAATATTAATAATAATAATAATAATAATAATAATAATAATAATAATATTTGCATGATTAAATCATCACTGATTAAAATACTTTTTAATCTCAACAATACTTTTATTTTGAAAGGATCCTAAATTTGATTTGATCTCTCTGAGTCTGAAGCTTTTATTTTGTAAACGTGTAGAGAGGCGGAGTCTCCCCCCCCCCCCCCTCCTGTAGGTCAGTATAAATCCACGATCAGAGACGGCTGAGTCTGTTTGTCTGTGAGCTCCTCTGTCTCCTCTGTCTCCTCTGTCTCCTCTGTCTCCTCATCCACGGCCAGGTTTTCATCTCCTCGTCCTTCTTCAGTCCTTCTCTGGTTCTGCTTCAGCCGGTCTCTGGTTCTTCTCTGGTCCTTCAGTCCCTCTTCAGCCGGTCTCTGGTTCTTCTCTGGTTCTTCTCTGGTCCTTCAGTCCCTCTTCAGTCGGTCTCTGGTGGACCCCCAGACTGCAGACCTGGAGCCCTGGTACTCTTACACCCATTGGTTCCCCATGGCCTCGTCCCATGTGATGAAGGACGGGCCCCCCCCGGGCCCCCCTCCCAGGATGCAGCCCGCCATGATGATGTTCTCCAGTAAGTACTGGTCCAGGAGGGGGATGTCCCTGGACTCCGCCATGTTCCAGCAACAACAACGCCACACGGGGGGGCAGATGGTGAGTACAGACGCCGTTTAACTCCTTCTTCATCATGGGGGGGTCCTCATCATCTTCATCTTCATCTCTGTTCTCTTCATCCTCTCCATCATCATCATCATCACCCTCCTATTCCTCATTTGTTCACACTCTCCTCTCCATCCTCCTCCTCATCTTCATCCTTCATCTTTCTGTTTTCTTCATCATACTTTATCACCTTCATCCTCTGACTCCTCCTCCTCCTTGTTAGTCTTTTTTTGTTTGTTTTTGTTTGTTTGTTTTTTGTTTGTTTTCGTTTTTTTTTTTTTTTTTTTTGTTTGTTTGTTTTTTTGTTTGTTTTTGTTTTTTGTTTGTTTTTGTTTGTTTTTGTTTGTTTTTTGTTTGTTTTTGTTTTTGTTTGTTTTTGTTTGTTTTTTGTTTGTTTTTGTTTTTGTTTGTTTTTGTTTTTGTTTTTTGTTTGTTTTTGTTTGTTTTTGTTTTTGTTTGTTTTTTGTTTGTTTTTGTTTGTTTTTGTTTTTGTTTGTTTGTTTTTGTTTGTTTTTGTTTGTTTTTTGTTTGTTTTTGTTTGTTTTTGTTTTTGTTTGTTTGTTTTTGTTTGTTTTTGTTTGTTTTTGTTTTTTGTTTGTTTTTGTTTGTTTTTGTTTTTGTTTGTTTGTTTTTGTTTGTTTTTGTTTGTTTTTGTTTGTTTTTGTTTTTTGTTTGTTTTTGTTTGTTTTTGTTTTTGTTTGTTTGTTTTTGTTTGTTTTTGTTTGTTTTTGTTTGTTTTTTGTTTGTTTTTGTTTGTTTTTGTTTTTGTTTGTTTGTTTTTGTTTGTTTTTGTTTGTTTTTGTTTTTTGTTTGTTTTTGTTTTTGTTTGTTTTTGTTTGTTTTTGTTTGTTTTTGTTTGTTTTTGTTTTTTGTTTGTTTTTGTTTGTTTGTTTCTTAATGAATTCTTCATCGTCGTTGTCGTTCCGCTCCTCCAGTCTCGCCGTACATCCTTCTGTCCAATCAAAGAGAAGCCTGATGCTGAAGGTGAAGCAGAGGATTCTGGGAAGACGGCGGTGGTTTTTTCTCTGAAGAATGAGGTCGGCTGTTTGGTCCGAGCGCTGCGAGTTTTTCAGGTCAGAATAACAAAACAGTTTTTTTCAAAATAAAACTCGACGATTTAGTTTAAATAAAGTTTGAATTCAAAACAAATCTGTAAAAAAAATAAACACTGAAGACCAGAAAAAAAAGGTTTAAAAATGTCTCTCCTCACCTCCTCCTCTACTTCTCCTTGTCTCCTTCCCACCTCTCCTTGTCGCCTCCCCTCGTCTCCTCCCTACCTCTCCTCCTCTCCTCTCCTTGTCTCCTCCTCTCCTTGTCTCCTCGCCCCCTGCAGGAGAAGCGGGTGAACCTGAACCACATTGAGTCCCGAGTTTCTCGTCGAGTCCTCAATGAGGTGGAGATCTTCGCAGACTGCAGCTGCAGTAAGAAGGAGTTTAACGAACTTCTGCAGCTCCTCAAAGATCACGTCAACATCGTGTCCTTCAACACACCTGAGCACACCTGGTCAGCTGAGGCAGGTAACCACAAACACACACATGAATGAATACACAGATACACACAAAAACACACAGACAAACACTTGGAGTGTGTGTGTCCTCAGATGAAGATGAGGTCCCCTGGTTCCCCATGAAGATCTCGGAGCTGGACCAGTGTTCCCACAGAGTCCTGATGTACGGATCAGAACTGGACGCCGACCATCCTGTGAGTCTAACTCTGACCTCCACCAGGGAGCAGCAGAGCAGCTGTACTCAGTGTGATGAAGAACATGACAAAGCTGATAATCAGATTGGGGTCTCCTAGAGTCACCTGCAGGTCTCCTAGAGTTAGTTGCAGGTCTCCTAGTCTCCCAGAGTTACCTGCGTGTCTCCTGGAGTCACCTATAGGTCTCCTAAAGTCTCCTAGAGTCACAGACAGGTCTCCTAAAGTCACCTATATGTCTCTTAGAGTCTCCTTGAGTCCCCTGCAGGTCTCCTAGAGTCTCCAAGAGGCACCTGTGGGTCAAATAAAGTCTCCTAGAGTCACCTGCAGGTGTCTTACAGTCTCCTAGAGTCACCTGTAGGTCTGCTAGAGTCTCCTGTGGTCAGCTGTGGGTCTCCTAGAGTCTGCTAGTGTCACATGTGGGTCTCCTAGAGTCACCTGCAGGCCTCCTTGAGTCTCCTAGAGTCACATGCCGCTCTCACAGAGTAACCTGCAGGTGTCCTAGATTCTTCTAGAGTCACCTGCAGGTCTCCTTGAGTCTCCTAGATCACACGCAGGTCTCCTAGTGTCTCCTGCAGGTCTCCTAGAGTCACCTGCCAGTTTCCTAGAGTCACCTGTGGGTCTCCTAGAGTCTCCTAGAGTAACCTGCATGTCTCCTAGAGTTACCTGCAGGTCTCCTAGAGTCTGCTAGAGTCACCTGTGGGTCTCCTAGAGTCTCCTGTGGTCAGCTGTAGGTCTCCTAGAGTCTTCTAGAGTCACCTGCAGGCCTCCTTGAGTCTCCTAGAGTCACATGCCGCTCTCACAGAGTAACCTGCAGGTGTCCTAGATTCTTCTAGAGTCACCTGCAGGTCTCCTTGAGTCTCCTAGATCACACGCAGGTCTCCTAGTGTCTCCTGCAGGTCTCCTAGAGTCACCTGCCAGTTTCCTAGAGTCACCTGTGGGTCTCCTAGAGTCTCCTAGAGTAACCTGCATGTCTCCTAGAGTTACCTGCAGGTCTCCTAGAGTCTGCTAGAGTCACCTGTGGGTCTCCTAGAGTCTTCTAGAGTCACCTGCAGGTCTCCTTGAGTCTCCTAGATCACATGCAGGTCTCCTAGTGTCTCCTGCAGGTCTCCTAGAGTCACCTGCCAGTTTCCTAGAGTCACCTGTGGGTCTCCTAGAGTCTGCTAGAGTCACATGTGGGTCTCCTAGAGTCACCTGCGGGTCTCCTAGAGTCTGCTAGTGTCACATGTGGGTCTCCTAGAGTCTCCTGTGGTCAGCTGTAGGTCTCCTAGAGTCTTCTAGAGTCACCTGCAGGTCTCCTTGAGTCTCCTAGAGTAACCTGCATGTCTCCTAGAGTTACCTGCAGGTCTCCTAGAGTCTGCTAGAGTCACATGTGGGTCTCCTAGTGTCACATGTGGGTCTCCTAGAGTCACCTGCAGGTCTCCTAGAGTCCCTGGTCCTCTCCCCCTGTCAGGGCTTTAAGGACGAGGTGTACCGTCAGAGGAGGAAGTTCTTCGTAGAGGTGGCCATGAACTATAAATTGTGAGTATGATGAGAACTATTAAAGGACCATTCCACAGTTATCCCCCGATTATAAAGAGACAGTGATTCTTCGTTGTTTATGAGCCCCTCTTGTATCCCCCCAGTGGACAGCCCATCCCCCGTATCGAGTACAGCCTGGAGGAGGTGAAGACGTGGGGCGTGGTCTTCAGAGAGCTGACCAAACTGTACCCGACTCACGCCTGCAGAGAATACCTGAAGAACCTGCCGCTGCTCACTAAACACTGTGGATACAGAGAGGACAACATCCCCCAGCTGGAGGACGTCTCACACTTCCTCAGAGGTCCACCTGTCCACCTGTCGTCTGTCTGTCTGTCTGTCTGTCCACCTGTCGTCTGTCTGTCTGTCTGTCTGACGGTCCACTTAAAGCTTTCGTTTTTGTCGTGTCCACACGTAGCCGAGTTTCTGCTAAAACAAACGTGTTTGTCCGATTCGGCCTGTCGTCCACATGAAGCCGCAGGAATACGTCATTAAAAACGGAGCTTTTGAAAATCTCCAGTTCTGCGTTTGCGTGTGGACAAAGATGACGGGGGTTTTAAATTCTTAAACGTCATTGTCCACGACAGCGGACAGATAAACGTCGTATACTTTGCGCCTTCTTTTCTGTCAGGCAGTGAACGACAGATAAATACAGGATATTGATTTCTGTGGAGGAGTGATTTGCAGTCGGTAATTCTCCACCAAATGATCCTTCCTCCACCTTCATGTGTCTTGTTGACTTTATTCTCCGAAATGATGCTTTAGTAACTCCACCTCTTTGTCGGTCCACACCAACAAACTTCACGGCGCTTTGTTCATGTTTGGAGAAGTGACGATGAGAAAGGGAAGCTCTCTGATTGAATCTGACTTTTTGGCAAATATTACCAACTCCAGGTTCCTCATTTATCGTAGAAAAGGTTCTAAATTCTGTCGTAGGAATAAAATGTCGAATAAAAACATTAAAATCTGTATTTCACAAACATGCAGACACGGTCGTACGAACACGCGTCAGTGATCGGTGATGATAAATCCCACCTGTTCTTTCGTAGCGTGCTCGTTCATGGTTAGGGTCATTAACATTCAGACACGCCCCTCGCTGAGATCATGGAGGTGACCACTCACAGAGCTGTTCTGCTGAACGAAGGAGTCGTGTGTTTGTTGTGGCGTGAAATCCTCGGCGTGTTGCTGATGTGTGTTTGGGAACTGGATGTAAGTCAACTCTGCCGACATGATTCTGCTTAACGTTGGCTGTGACGTGTGTGTGTGTGTGTGTGTGTGTGTGTGTGTGTGTGTGTGTGTGTGTGTGTGTGTGTGTGTGTGTGTGTGTGTGTTTCAGAGCGCTCCGGGTTCACAGTCCGACCTGTCGCAGGTTACCTGTCTCCCAGAGACTTCCTGGCGGGGTTAGCTTACCGGGTGTTTAACTGCACTCAGTATGTTCGACACAGCACAGACCCCCTCTACACACCTGAGCCGTGAGTTCACCTGCGATCAATAAAAATCTAATCAATAATTCTTTTTGGATATTTATTAAAACATTTCCCCTGAAATGTGAAAAGAGCTTTTATTTTGTTTGTAAATAGAGCTGTAGTTTGTAAATAGAGCTGTAGTTTGTTTGTAAACAGAGCTGTAGTTTGTTTGTAAACAGCTGTAGTTTATAAACAGAGCTGTAGTTTGTTTGTAAACAGAGCTGTAGTTTGTTTGTAAATAGAGCTGTAGTTTGTAAACAGAGCTGTAGTTTGTTTTGTAAACAGCTGTAGTTTGTTTGTAAACAGAGCGGTAGTTAGTTTGTAAATAGAGCTGTAGTTTGTTTGTAAACAGCTGTAGTTTATAAACAGAGCTGTAGTTTGTTTGTAAACAGAGCTGTAGTTTGTTTGTAAATAGAGCTGTAGTTTGTAAACAGAGCTGTAGTTTGTTTATAAACAGAGCTGTAGTTAGTTTGTAAATAGAGCTGTAGTTTGTTTGTAAACAGAGCTGTAGTTTGTTTATAAACAGAGCTGTAGTTTGTTTGTAAACAGAGCTGTAGTTAGTTTGTAAACAGAGCTGTAGTTTGTTTGTAAACAGAGCTGTAGTTTATAAACAGAGCGATAGTTTGTTTGTAAACAGCTGTAGTTTGTTTGTAAACAGCTGTAGTTTGTTTGTAAACAGAGCTGTATTTAGTTTGTAAACAGAGCTGTAGTTTGTTTGTAAACAGAGCTGTAGTTTGTTTGTAAACAGCTGTAGTTTATAAACAGAGCTGTAGTTTGTTTGTAAACAGAGCTGTAGTTTGTTTGTAAACAGAGCTGTAGTTTGTTTGTAAACAGAGCTGTAGTTTGTTTGTAAACAGCTGTAGTTTGTTTGTGAACAGCTGTAGTTTGTTTGTAAATAGAGCTGTAGTTTGTTTGTAAACAGCTGTAGTTTGTTTGTAAACAGAGCTGTAGTTTGTTTGTAAACAGAGCTGTAGTTTGTTTGTAAATAGAGCTGTAGTTTGTTTGTAAATAGAGCTGTAGTTTGTTTGTAAACAGCTGTAGTTTGTTTGTAAACAGCTGTAGTTTGTTTGTACAGAGCTGTAGTTTGTTTGTAAACAGCTGTAGTTTGTTTGTAAACAGCTGTAGTTTGTTTGTAAACAGAGCTGTAGTTTGTTTGTAAATAGAGCTGTAGTTTGTTTGTAAATGGAGCTGTAGTTTGTTTGTAAATAGAGCTGTAGTTTGTTTGTAAATGGAGCTGTAGTTTGTTTGTAAACAGCTGTAGTTTGTTTGTAAACAGCTGTAGTTAGTTTGTAAATAGAGCTGTAGTTTGTTTGTAAATAGAGCTGTAGTTTGTTTGTATCTTTAGGGACACGTGTCATGAGCTCCTGGGTCACGTTCCTCTCCTCGCTGATCCAAAGTTCGCTCAGTTTTCTCAGGAGATCGGTTTGGCCTCTTTGGGAGCGTCTGATGAGGATGTGCAGAAACTCGCTACAGTGAGTTTTAACTGCTGTGACAGATTTTCGTGTTTTAACGACGTTTTCTTCGTACCTGCTGACGTCCTCGGGGTTCTGTCATGTTTCTTCGTTTACAGTGTTATTTCTTCACCATCGAGTTTGGGCTGTGTAAACAGGACGGTCAGCTGAGAGCTTATGGAGCGGGATTACTGTCGTCTATTGGAGAGCTGAGGGTCAGACACACACACACACACACACACACACACACACACACACACACACACACACACACACACACACACACAGCTGTATATTAACTGTGATAAATAGGTTCACAGGTCGAACCATAAACTGTTTTCACGTCAGACGTTGGAAAACAAAAACACGAGATCTTGACTTTGGTGATGTGAAGTTGGTTCGGTGAACTTTAATCAGATTCAAACAGTTTTTTTAAATATTTTTTTATATGATGATATATTATTACGATGTTACGTATAGAAATATTGAACACTAAACTGCAGAGATGACTGACGGTGTGGACGTTTTTCCCCCAGCACGCTCTGTCTGACCAGGCGTGTGTAAAGACCTTTGACCCCAAGACGACCTGTGACCAGGAGTGTCTGATCACCACCTTCCAGGAAGTTTACTTTGTGTCTGACAGCTTCGAGGAGGCCAAGGAGAAGATGAGGTACACACACACACACACACACAGATCAGTGGTTCACACAGTGTGCGGCGTCTCCTCTGAGGGTGGATGAACTAACGGGACATGATCATTAACGAAGGTGTTTCACGTTTGTAGAAATAGAAGATGTTCCTTTAACTGAAATTCCAGAATGAATAAAGAGTTCATCATTTAAACGAGTTTCTGAAAAAGTGCGATGAGTGTTTTCAGATCTGAGTGTGTTGAACACAGAGCAGCGCTGTGGAGAACAAACACGAAGATAATTAAAGATTTTTATAAGTTACAAACATTTTTGTTTTTGTTGATTTTAAGCTCAAAACTTTTCTCCCCCCCCCCTCTCTGTTCAGGGACTTTGCGAAGACCATCAAGCGTCCGTTCTCCGTCTACTATAACCCGTACACTCAGAGCATCGATCTGCTTAAAGACACTCGCAGTATCGAGAACGTGGTCCAGGACCTTCGCAGCGACCTCACCACCGTCTGTGACGCTCTGGGCAAGATGAACACCTACCTGGGCATCTGAGGCCACGCCCCCTCTGAGCTGTGATTGGTGGGAAACATTAGTGACATTGTAATGTTTCTGCGGAACGCCACACCTGTAACAAAAACGTCTGAATCACCTGAAGATGTAAAAAAAAGAGAAACACAGCGAGAACAGAACTCAGGAAAAGGACGCTGAAGATAATGAGGATAATGTTTAAATATTGTTTGTTGTGAAGTAAATCTGGATGTTCAATAGTCTTCAGTAAAGTTTGTTTCCCCAGTCTGAGCGTTTCCTTCATTTCATGTTTTTAAACTCGATTTCATGAAGAAAAATAAAAAAATGTTCGTTTTCATTTTTTTACCTTTAGTGAATTTGGGTCTCGACCAGCAGCTGAGAAGGAAGTTCAATGATTTAAACCGGGAACCTAAAGCTCCATTAGACTAATTCAGGTGGTCCACAGCATCTGTAGACCACCTGAAGATCCCCCTCAAACCTTCTCTGTCAGTCCAGAAACTCTGCAGGAGGTTCCAGGTGGAGAACAGGGAGCCTCCACCGGTCCGTTTAAAAACATGTTTACAGAAAAGTCTAAACAGAAACAAGACAACCCCCCCCCCGCAAAAAAAGAACAAAAAATGAACATAAAAAAGGAAAAATAAAGAAATTAATAAAGAAAAAAAATAGTTACAAAGGAAAGAACAAATAAAAAACAAAAGAACAGAAAGAAGAAACGAGCGTATTAAAAAAGACAAACGGATAAAAAAGAATAAAAAATAAAAAAGAATAGATAATAAAACAAATAAACAGTTAAAAAAGATAAAAAGAAACAAGTTAAAAATAAAAGAGAAAAAAACAAATAAACAGTTTAAAATAAAAGAGAAAAGAGCATAAAAAGAAAATCAAAGACGAAAACGACATTTTTTTAATTTATTGGAAAGAAACTTTATTTTGATCAAATTTACAAAAACTTTGGTACAAAAACACAAACATAAAAAAAAACAGATTTCTTCTTCAGGACATATTTACACCGTTCACTGCGCTGCGTGAAAGTCAGTAAGCAGCGCTCTGATTGGATGAGGCATCAGGTGACCTGAAGGGAGTCATCGAGTCTTTGTATCATCGAACCCCGAGTCGGTGTTTTGTCGTCCGCTCCACCAAGTCATGAAATTCATCGAGTTTGTCTTTGACTTTGAGATAAACCTGAAAAAAACAGAGAATGACTAACATCAACAGAGACACACCTGAGACCACCTGAGACACACTAAAGACCACCTGAGACACACCTAACAGACCTGAGACACACTAAAGACCACCTGAGACCACCTAACAGACCTGAGACACACCTGAGACCACCTGAGACACACCTGAGACCACCTGAGACACACTAAAGACCACCTGAGACACACTAAAGACCACCTGAGACACACCTAACAGACCTGAGACCACCTGAGACCACCTGAGACCACCTAACAGACCTGAGACCACCTGAGACCACCTAACAGACCTGAGACACACCTGAGACCACCTGAGACACACTAAAGACCACCTAACAGACCTGAGACCACCTAACAGACCTGAGACCACCTAACAGACCTGAGACCACCTGAGACACACTAAAGACCACCTGAGACCACCTAACAGACCTGAGACACACCTAACAGACCTGAGACACACCTAACAGACCTGAGACCACCTAACAGACCTGAGACACACCTAACAGACCTGAGACCACCTAACAGACCTGAGACCACCTGAGACACACTAAAGACCACCTGAGACCACCTAACAGACCTGAGACACACCTGATTCCCCGGGATCACCTGACACTTCAGACTTTCTTCCCCTGATGATCCGTCTTTGTTGACGGTGTTTGTAATTTTGACCTTTAACTTCCTGTCTTTGTCTTTTATTCTGAAGGTTTTTTTAGGACAGGAAATGACCTTTATTTGAGCTTGTTTTTTTGTGGTGATTTAAATTCATAATAAATGTCTTCAGATCAATAATTGTCAATAACTGATAATAATCTTTATTTAATGACATTATTAAAAATTCTTCCTCGTTATTTCGGTGCCCCGTGTGAGGCATTCATGAACGTTTAGATGGTCAGTGATGGAGAAACTCCGCCTCCGTTCTCCAAACTGACCCGTTTGTGAAGGACCCGAGGTTTAGGTCAAAGAACCTGAGAGTCCAAACAAGTCCAGGCCTGGGACCAGATCAGGAACCTTTCCTGTGAAGAGTGTCTGAGTTTCACACACGGGTTTGTCTCACTTCTACATTTTTTTGTCTGTTTCCTTATTTGGTCGTTTTCCTGTCCCTCTGACCTCTGACCTCAGAGCTCCTCCTTCATAAAAACACAGATCAGCTGATCATTATTTTGGTCCGGGTCCAAACTGAGAGAACCGAACCTCCATCAGCTGATCCACAGGAAGTACTTACAATGCTGTTGGTCTGAGTCTGACTCAGCGACTGCAGCAGCTGGTCGATCGCCGTGTACGGTAACCAGACGGAGGACGAGGTCGCCGACAGAGGCCTCTGAAACACACACACACACACACACACACACACACACACGGTTATGTTGTGCACAAACACAATCATCTTGCTTATTTTGCGAGTGTTTGTATCTCGTCTGCAGAGCGTCCAATCACAGCTGCTGTTACTGAGAGGCGGGGTTACGGCGGGTCAGGTCAGGGGTGGAGTTACAGAGTTACCCTGCAGTACTTGTACCTCTATTCCAAAGTACTGATGTCCTCGTCCGAGCAGAGCGTCCACCAACTCCAACACCAGCTCAGCCGCAGCGTCCAGGAGGTCAAAGTTCAGGAGGAGACGCAGCAGAGACGCAGGATCCACCGCCTGAAACACAGAAACACCGCTGTCCCAGTGCATCATGGGAAAACCACCTGTGTGATCAGGTGTTAAAAAACAGCGTCTGACCTTGTAGGCATTGAGGAGCCAATCAGGAAGAGGGACACCATGTGACAGCAGCTTATTGATGACACAGCGATGATGTCGTCCGTTCGAAGACGGATACCTGTCCAGGTAGGAGGCCAGCAGACGCCACGCCTCATCAGTCGCACTAAAGACATCAGTGAACATTGATAATGAGTGATTATTGATCTCTGATCGATCAACAGACACAATTCTTTCATTTGGACTCTGTGCCAGAACGAAACCACGCCACGCCAGAAATCCGGCGCCCTGTCGGACGACTCTACGCCCCGAGAGTAACGAAGCTCAAATATTGATAATAATGATTATGAATTAATATTTAAACCAATCAGACCTCGACTCTTTGGTGTTGACGACTGATGACAGCTGATTAGCAGCCAACCAGCTCCAGGCTTCGTTCTGAGACTCCTCCCCCGAAAACTGGAGTTTAATACACCTGAGCGACAAAACGCCAGATTTATCCTGTTAGACATGATCATGACAGTGACTGACAGGATAATGACTGAAAACAAGATAATGACTGAAAACAAGATAATGACTGAAAACAAGATAATGACTGACAAACAAGATAATGACTGAAAACAGGAGAATGACTGAAAACAAGATAATGACTGAAAACAAGATAATGACTGAAAACAAGATAATGACTGGAAACAAGATAATGACTGAAAACAAGATAATGACTGAAAACAAGATAATGACTGAAAACAGGATAATGACTGAAAACAGGATAATGACTGAAAACAAGATAATGACTGAAAACAAGATAATGACTGAAAACAAGATAATGACTGACAAACAAGATAATGACTGACAAACAAGATAATGACTGAAAACAAGATAATGACTGAAAACAGGATAATGACTGAAAACAAGATAATGACTGACAAACAAGATAATGACTGACAAACAAGATAATGACTGAAAACAAGATAATGACTGAAAACAAAATAATGACTGAAAACAAGATAATGACTGAAAACAAAATAATGACTGAAAACAAGATAATGACTGAAAACAAGATAATGACTGAAAACAAGATAATGACTGAAAACAGGATAATGACTGAAAACAAGATAATGACTGAAAACAAGATAATGACTGAAAACAAGATAATGACTGACAATCTAACAAACATCTGTCCCAGCTGATAATCTTCATTCAAAGTCGAGGGTTAACGAAGTTTAGATAACAGAGAGATAATTAACGGATAATTAAGAGATAATTAATGTATAACTTGATAATGTTCAGATAAAGCATCCATTATGAGCAGAGAGTGAAACAGAGGTGACGGGTAAATAAAGAGACGGTCTGTATGAAGTGATTTCAGGTGATGATGTAGGAATTAAGAGTCGAGGATCAATAATGAGGATCAATAATGAGGATCAAAAATGAGGATCAATAATGAGGATCAATAATGAGGATCAATAATGAGGATCAATACTGAGGATCAATAACGAGGATCAATAATGAGGATCAATAATGAGGATCAATAATGAGTCACGAAGACGAGGTCGTGATAAAGTTAAAGAAGTGGAGATAAAGATGGTCGAGAGAGAATTCAAGGATAATGTCGATGCTGTCGTAAACAGGAAGTAGTCAGACTGACTTGAAGGTGAGTCCCTCAAAGACCGGGGTCAGGTCCAGACTGAAGGTCTGACAGACGGACTGAGCTGAGTCAAAGAGTCCGGTCTGGACCAGCAGGACCACCATCTCCTCTGCTGAAGCACTACCTGAAGATACACACACACACACACACACACACACACACACACAGTTAATGAACGTGGATCAGTTTTTAGTCTTTCTGATGGTCCTGGATTCGATCTGAAGGGGGTCAGGTAAACCAGGTGTTCTGGTCCACAGGTGTCCTAAACTCTACAGGTGATCCAGGTGTACCTGCGATGGCGGCGGAGGGGGGGTGGTGCTGAGCGAGCGTGAGGCGACTCCTGGAGAGGATGTACTCCTTTTCCAGGTCCTTGAGTTCCAGGATGTCCACCTGACGACGGACTGCAGGAGGAACACAAGAAACGGGGTTAGACCGGAGACCGGAGACCGGACCAGGACCTCCTCCTGAACCCTGAGTTCTATTTTTCTGGACGCCGGAGCATGGCGGAAAAATTCAGCTCAGATGAACCCGTGCTGGAGAGGAAGTCGGGCGATGATGACACCATGGATGAGGAGATGCTGATTCTAGAAGTCTAGAAGTAGATTTCCTCCTCTGGAAGGACACAATCTACTGCTTATATGTCTATGTGTCTGTCTTTAGAGAGACGACTCGTTATTGAACGTGAATCTGCAGGTTACCGCTGTCGGAAATCCGCCACGAAATTCACCTCACAAACAGATCTGGTAGGAATTGGCGGACAGCGAAATGCGCCGCTGTTCTGGATCGGCGCCGTTCCGGATGCGGTGGAAATTGGGGGTCAGAGAGAGTTCAGAGTCTGTCCACTGAGAGGACGTCAATAAAGTTTATTCAAGGTCAGATAGTCTCACCTGGTTCAGAAGAAAACTCTCCGTCTGCGTTTCTCTTTGGAGACGCTCCAGGACGCTCGTACTGCGCGCACACACACACACACACATACGCACGCACAGACACACACACACACACACACACACACACAAAATTTACATCATTACAGTTGTGTGTACTCATGTTTGTAATCTTTGTGTTAAAAAAAACACAACTGGAGTTCAGCGTGTGTGTGTGTGTGTGCGTGCGTGTGTGTGTGTATGTGTGTGTGTGTGTGTGTGTACCACGGCTCCGGAGGCGGGTTGGACGATCCAGGCGTACTCCGGTCTGATGAGGCGCAGACAGGTGAGAGCGGACAGGTAACAGTTCACCTGTTTCTGAAGACCCAGACGAGTCCGGACCTCCCGACCCAGACGCATCCCCAACTCAAACATCACAGTACCAGCTACACACACACACACACACACACACACACACACACACACACACGCACACACATGCACACACACACACACACACACACACCTTTGTTAGCTGAATACATCAGAGACTCCTCATCTTCTAATGTCAAACTTCAGGTGAGTTTATCAACCACAGAGTGTGTGTCTGTGTGTGTGTGTCTGTGTGTGTGTCTGTGTCTGTGTGTCTGTGTGTGTGTCTGTGAGTGTGTGTGTCTGTGTGTGTGTGTGTGTCTGTGAGTGTGTGTCTGTGTGTGTGTGTGTGTTTGTCTGTGTGTGTGTGTGTGTGTGTGTGTGTGTGTGTGTCTGTTTGTCTGTGTGTCTGTGAGTGTGTGTCTGTGTGTCTGTGAGTGTGTGTCTGTCTGTGTGTGTGTGTCTGTGCTCTTACCTTTCCTGTAGTTGTGTCTGTTGATGTGGAAACCGTACAGCAGCTCATAGTAGTTGTGGGCGAGCAGGTCCAGACCTCGGGCTCGGGACTCGATGATACTGACCACCTGAGGACCACAACAGGTGAGCTCTTCAGTGAGCATGCTCAGACAGGTGCAGTTCCTCGTGAAGTCACATGTCCACACAGGTACTTTAACCCTTTAAACCTTGTACCTTATTAAGGTTTCTGGAGGGATGAGGCCTTCTCTTTGATGCTATAACTTTTTTTCTATTAATGCCCTTGCAAAGAAATTCCTAGAAAATGTGTATTTTGTGATGAGGCATGATATACCTGAAATTGAAGAAAAAAAACCCTATGGTTATGGTTTTTTTTTCAAATATGCTTAATCTTGCATTAGCGTCACACAAGTGCCACATGCATTCCAATGGGAAACCACTTGTCTTTTACATATACCCATATCAGTGGGAAAAAATGAATTTCAGCAAAGACTGTTTTCCCCCTTTTCTGAAGACATTAAAGATGCACTGTGCACAAGGTGCCCCTTTTTTTTCATGAATAATAGAGGCTGATCTAGCCAGGTGGTCAAAACCCCATTATTCCTTATGGGAATTTGGCAAAAATTACAATATTCAAAAATCAAAAAATGCACATAACTTTATCACTAATAAAATGAAGCAATTTTTTTATTTTATTTTTACCATTTTACTTTATTTGGGCATGAAACTGTCTCAAATTTGTTATTCTGGTGTTTTTTTGTTTTTTTTACCATTTTGGTCAGTTTGACACACCCGTAAACCACAGCCTATGATAGATGCAGTCTTTTGGAAGGAAAATCTGCTACCTGTTTGTAATATACTGCCACAAGAGTTCAAATCAGATTTTTCCCCCCATTTTTTTGCATTTTATCTTGAGTCTATTTGCAATCCAACTTTTTCAAATCATGAATGCTGAAATTTCATTTGTTTTCATATCCGTTATTGGCCTTCAGTGAGAGGCCATTTTTTGCAAAAAAACAAAAGTAGACTGTAGAAGTGAATAAATCAGGTGTGCATGTATTTTTTTTTATGTGTTAGTGTTTTCCGTGTGTGCATGGTCGTGTGTGTTCGTGTGCAAATGTTTGTGCACGCGCATGATCTTGCGCGCGCTCGTCACAGCCAGCGATTGCGTTCATGGCACATGCGCCCCAAGCGTCCGAGGTTGCCCCGGGTACAGCCGCCCCGTTACCCGTGATCAGATAGCCTTAGGCCCGCGGCAGCAAAGGCGGGGAGCCGCTGGCTGCTCTGGAGGTGGTAACCTCACCTCACCACTCGAAAACGGGGGTGTCGGATGGTCGTCGCCGGCGAATTTTACGCGCTTCGCGGCGGGGACACACACACACACACACACACACACACACACACAAAGCTCATCCCCATCGCGGGTCAGTCCCGACCAGAGCAGTGTTTAATCCACAGTGTTTAATCCACTGCTCTGGTCCCGACCTCTTCTTCTTCTTCCGGGTAACGGGGTTTTGCATCCGGCAGTCTGACGTAACTCGTAGGCTAATTGCTGTGCCGCGCCACCTGATCTGGAGGTACTGCCCCTCAGCTCCACAATCGTAAGCACACGCACACAGACACACACACGCACACACACACTCGCACGCCGGCACACACACACACTCGCTCGCAGGTACACGCGCGCGCGCGCGCACGCACGCACGCACGAAGGTACACACAAACACCCACACACGCACATACATGTTTCAAACTAAAATTAAAAGGATTAAAAGTTTAAAAATAGTTGATTTTTTCTTTTGAGTGGTTAGAGCAGAAGTCAATGATGACAGCCATAATAAAAAAGGGCAACTTTTCATTTGTAGATGATTTTATAGGCCACTAAGTGACAGTGGCAGTTCCTTGCCACTAATACCAGATTAGTCGTTTTTTTTTATTTTAGGCTGTCACGCAAAAACTGAAACTGCAACTAAAACTAATTTTACACATACTCATACCACTCATAGGTTCTGATAATCTTGCACAAAGAAATTTGATTTTGCATTACTCTTATTATTTTTAGCCCTTTTTTTTTAAATTGGGGCATTTTTTACGGTGTGTTTACACTAAAATTAAAAGGGTTAAAAGTTTGAAGCTGGGTGATTTTTTCTTATGAGTGGTTAGAGCAGAAGTCAATGATGACAGCCATGAAAAAAAAAGGGCAACTTTTCATTTATAGATGATTTTATAGGCCACTCAGTGACAGTGGCAGTTCCTTGCCACTAATACCAGATTAGGGATTCTGTGTTAATAAGGTAGCAGGGTTAAACCGAGACAGCATGAACACGTTTCTACCCTCGGAGCCGGGAGAGCGGAGTCGTCATTTTCTAACCTTCTGAAGTTCTTCAATCATTTCTGGAGTCGAATCAAACGATCAAACCCGTCTGATTCTGATCGGATAATAAAGATCAATAAGGTGATCGGGTCCATGATCGGATCTTTCTATGTGTTTCATGAGGAAAGTAAACGATGATGGAGGCAGAGAGCAGCTTCAGAGGAGAAGGTCTGCAGAGGGGTGGAGCTCCAGTCTACGTCTGAACGACCTCTTCATACGGAGGTCTGTGACTCAGACCGTCAGTGTTTACTGTGACGCAGACACCAACAGACGGTCAGACACCAACAGACACCAACAGACGGTCAGACACCAACAGACGGTCAGACACCAACAGACACCAACAGACGGTCAGACACCAACAGACGGTCAGACACCAACAGACGGTCAGACACCAACAGACAGTCAGACACCAACAGACAGTCAGACACCAACAGACGATCAGACACCAACAGACACCAACAGACGGTCAGACACCAACAGACAGTCAGACACCAACAGACACCAACAGACGGTCAGACACCAACAGACAGTCAGACACCAACAGACGGTCAGACACCAACAGACACCAACAGACGGTCAGACACCAACAGACGGTCAGACACCAACAGACGGTCAGACACCAACAGACGGTCAGACACCAACAGACAGTCAGACACGAACACACGGTCAGACACCAACAGACACCAACAGACAGTCAGACACCAACAGACAGTCAGACACCAACAGACGGTCAGACACCAACAGACGGTCAGACACCAACAGACAGTCAGACACCAACAGACGATCAGACACCAACAGACGGTCAGACACCAACAGACAGTCAGACACCAACAGACGATCAGACACCAACAGACACCAACAGACAGTCAGACACCAACAGACGGTCAGACACCAACAGACGGTCAGACACCAACAGACGGTCAGAAACCAACAGACAGTCAGACACCAACAGACGATCAGACACCAACAGACACCAACAGACGGTCAGACACCAACAGACGGTCAGACACCAACAGACGGTCAGACACCAACAGACAGTCAGACACCAACAGACGATCAGACACCAACAGACACCAACAGACGGTCAGACACCAACAGACAGTCAGACACCAACAGACGGTCAGACACCAACAGACACCAACAGACGGTCAGACACCAACAGACAGTCAGACACCAACAGACGGTCAGACACCAACAGACGGTCAGACACCAACAGACACAAACAGACAGTCAGACACCAACAGACGGTCAGACACCAACAGACAGTCAGACACCAACAGACGGTCAGACACCAACAGACGGTCAGACATCAACAGACGGTCAGACACCAACAGACGGTCAGACACCAACAGACGGTCAGACACCAACAGACGGTCAGACACCAACAGACGGTCAGACACCAACAGACACCAACAGACGGTCAGACACCAACAGACGGTCAGACACCAACAGACGGTCAGACACCAACAGACGGTCAGACACCAACAGACACCAACAGACGGTCAGACACCAACAGACGGTCAGACACCAACAGACGGTCAGACACCAACAGACGGTCAGACACTCCCATCTGTTTCTTTAGTTTCTGCTCTTGTCCCCAGACTATCCTGGATCAGCTGTTTACACTTTAACACTTTAGTTTTCATATTTGTGATGATTGACAGGTGATCATGACTGACAGACAGGAAACTGATCGATCGTCTCCGGAGTCTTACCTCATCGTGAAGGTTGACGTAGGGGAACTGGACCAGATCGTGGAGCTGAGAGCGTTCACAGAGAACCACCACCAGCTGACGGAGACAATCCAGCTGCCTGAGAGACACACACACACACACACACAGACACACACACACACACACACACACAGAGACACACACACACACACACACACACACACACACACACACACACAGACACACACAGAGACACACACACACACAGACACACACACACACACACACACACACACAGACACAGAGACACACACACAGACACACACACACACACACAGAACAGACACACACACACACACACAGACACACACACAGAGACACACACACACACAGAACAGACACACACACACACACACACACACACACACACAGAACAGACACACACACAGACACACACACACACACACACACACACACACACACACACACACACAGACACACAGACACACACAGACACACACAGACACACACACAGACACACACACACACAGAGACACACACACAGAACAGACACACACACAAACATACACACACACACAGACACACACAGAGACACACACAGAACAGACACACACACACAAACATACACACACACACAGACACACACAGAACAGACACACACAAAGACACACACACACACACGCAGACACACAGACACACACACAGACACACACACACACACACACACACACACAGAACAGACACACACACAGAACAGACACACACACAGACACACACACACACAGACACACAGACACACATACACATAAACATACACACACATACACACACACACACACAGAAGATCTTGTTTAGATATAAATCGTGATATGTAATACAGAATGTGTGTATAAATATTTGGGTATGTAATCGAGGTGTGTGTGTGTGTGTGTGTGTACTTACATGCTGCTGTCTGGGTTCTGTGTGAGGGCTTCATAAGCTTCACTGTTGTGTCCCAGGTCCAGGTGGTGTTTGAATATTCTGGTCCAGAGAGCCGCCTGAACACACACACACACACACACAGACACACACACACACACACACACACGTTCAAAAGTTGATCAGGATAGATTTCGTTGATATCAGTCGATATCGATCAATATCAGGATATTAAAATCGATCCGTGTTTATTGATCGATCTCCTGCATCTATGAGGTCTTTGCTCCTTGGTTCTAATTCAGCTCATGATTGGCTAACCCTGGAGTAACTGCTCTTTTCATTGGCTGTTCGTAGAGTCGACCACGACCTGTCAGAAAGTCCGTTAAACGTCCGCGTTGTTTTTAAGTAAAGACTGTTCGGTTATTTTGTGTTTTATGGTGAGTTTTCGTTTGTCCTACGCTCATGAACGCACCAGAGACGATCCAACACGATGAAACACACCTTCACCTGTGTGTGACAGTTCTCCTCCTCCTGCAGCAGACGATGGTCTGAGGATGGTCTGAGGGTCGCTGGTAAACTTCCTGTCTTTATCAAATCTTCACCTCCGTGTTTCTGTGAGTAAATGTCCGACCTGAGTTTGTTTCTTTTAGGTTCATGTTTACGGTGAAGACGACTGACGCTCTCTCAGGTTCCTCCATCTTCATCTTCTGTTCGCTCTGATCTGGACCGACTTTGATCAGCAGAACCAAAGAAATCCACCAAACTGGACACCTGTGTGTTTGAACGACGAGGACACACACACCTGTGTGTTTGAACGACGAGGACACACACACCTGTGTGTTTGAACGACAAGGACACACACACCTGTGTGTTTGAACGACAAGGACACACACACACACACACACCTGTGTGTTTGAACGACGAGGACACACACACACACACACACCTGTGTGTTTGAACGACGACACACACACACCTGTGTGTTTGAACGACGAGGACACACACACCTGTGTGTTTGAACGACGACACACACACACACACCTGTGTGTTTGAACGACGAGGACACACACACACCTGTGTGTTTGAACGACGACACACACACACACATCTGTGTGTTTGAACGAGGACACACACACACACACACACCTGTGTGTTTGAACGACGAGGACACACACACACACACCTGTGTGTTTGAACGAGGACACACACACACACACACCAAACAGCTGAGCGCTCCGATCTCCTTTTTAATGACGACGATCGAAAAACCCGATTGATCGTGTTTTTAATCGATTTTAAGGAAAAACTAATTAATGATTTTTATCGTTATTGATTTCACGCCCAGAACTTCCAGGTTACCTGACTGTTGATGTCGCTCGCCGCCTCCGTAATCGCCAGAGAGGCGAGCTGGATGACGAGCTCAGGAAGACCCACATCCTCCAACAGCCTCAACACCTGAAATACACACAGACACACACAGACACACACACACAGACACACACATACACACACAGACACACACACACACACACACACACACACACAGACACAGACACAGACACAGACACAGACACACACACACACACACACACATACACAGACACACACACACACACACACATACACAGACACACACACACACACACACACACACACACATACACAGACACACACACACACACACACACACACACACACATACACACACACACACAGACACACACATACAGACACACACACACACACACACACACACACAGACACAGACACACACACACACACACACACACACATACACACACACACACACACACACACATACAGACACACACACACACACACACACACACACATACACAGACACACACACACACACACACACACACACACACACACACACACACACACACACACACACACACACACACACACACACACACACAGACACACACACACACACACACACACACACACACACACACACACACACACACACACACACACACACACAGACACACACACACACACACACACACACACACACACAGACACACACACACACACACACACACACACACACACACACACACACACACACACACACACACACAGCTGAGTTCTCAGATTAAACTCACTGTTATACTTGATTATGTGGTTCAGGTGAACCGGTGTGTTAAACAGGTGTGTGTCTGTATGTGTGTGTGTCTGTGTGTGTGTGTGTGTCTGTATGTGTGTGTCTGTATATGTGTGTGTGTGTGTGTGTGTTTCAGGTGTGTACCTTGTTGTAGTACTGCAGTCGGGGGGTGGACGCTGACTCCTCCTCCTCGCTGCCCGTCAATCTGAGGAGAAACTCCTCCTTCTCCACCTCTGTCGCAGCCTCCTGGAAACACTGGAGAGCCTGAGGAGAGGAGGAGTAAGAGGAGGTGAGGAGGAGTAGGAGGAGGAGAAGGAGAGAGAGGAGGAGTAAGAGGAGGTGAGGAGGAGTAGGAGGAGGAGAAGGAGAGAGAGGAGGAGGAGGAGTAAGAGGAGGTGAGGAGGAGTAGGAGGAGGAGAAGGAGAGAGAGGAGGAGGAGAGCAGGTGAGGTGGAGGAGGAGGAGGTGAGCTGTAGCTCCGCCTCCTGTGACATTCTCAGGTGTGTCACTGACCTTCTGTCCTTCCCCGTTGGCGAGGTAACACTGACCCAGCATGAAGCGACGAGAACCAACGTTCACCTGACACCAAGGACCAATCAGACGCACGTACTCCTACACACAGAGAGACACACACACACACACACACACAGAGAGACACACACACAGACACACACAGTGACACACACAGTGATTAAACATGTTGTGGAGTTTGAATGTTTCCCTGACCTCTGACCTCTGACCTCTGACCCTCCAGCAGGTCTTCAGACTTTATTTTCTCTTTTTTCTGGTTTTTCTGTGACTAAAGACATTTCTGGTTCTGGTTCTGGTTCTGGTTCCTCACTGATTATGGATCACAGGTAGACTCACCTGCAGCTGGGTGTACTGACAGTTCGCCATCAGACACTCTGGGAACTGGAAACCAGGATTATTGGGCCAACTGGGAACACTGGTGAAGGAACAAACAGCCACTGGAGGAAATCTACAAATGAACAAACCGACACAAACGGGCCGAGCGGAGCCGCCGGCGCCGCTCAGGTGTGTCAGGTGACGGGAGGATACAGCAGCTGGGCCAGCTGGTGGACCAGGTTGGAGGTCATGTGACTCCAGAGGAGCAGAGAGTCGCTCTGCTGCTGAGAGAAGATCTGAGACACCATCATCTTCCTCGCCGCCGTCTGATAGAAGAGCTCCACCACCGTCTGAGGGCTCAGCACTGACGAGGAAGACAGGTCACAGAAGGTCAACGCCACGTCTGATCGACTTTCATCACACAGACACTCCGCTGACGGTGACCGCCGTGGTCATGGCGGTCGACTGATAACAGACGCCATGACAGTTGAACAACACGTTACTGAGAGTTTGTCCAACGCCGTCATGGTTTGAGTTTGTAAAGACACAGATTTATTGATCGATCGAGCTGATACTGCCGTCAATACTAAACATGAAAACATCGTCAATGACCTTTTTGAAATGGTGCTGACTCATCATTTTAACCTGCTGACATCAAACACGATTAACGCCATCGTAAACGCCGTTCAGTCACTGACCTGATCTGTGCGAGGAGGAGAGCGCCGGAGAGTCCGACAGCTCCAACACGGTCAGGTGCTGCAGGTTAGCGTCTCTGCAGGTCAGAGGTCAAAGGTCAGAACAGGCTCATGCTTCACGTCTTAGCCCCGCCCATCAGAGTCACATGACGATAGAGAGGAGGGGCCTGGACTCAGAGGATCTCATAAACCGCCGCCTTCTTTCATGAGGTCTCATCAACACGGACCTCAAGATGTACAGATTCAAGCCCCACCCACCCTGACTGACAGAAACAGGAAGTACTCACAGGATGTCCACGGGTACGGCGGCGGCGAGGCTCTGACTGACGTGTTTGAGGAGGTGATACGAGGAGAGGAGGTGAGAACTGCGAGGAATCAAGTCCTGCTGGAGCTGCAGGAGCTGAGCGCCGCCGCCCAGGAACACCTGAGACACACACACACACACACACACACACACACACACACACAGGTGAACAACACACACACAGGTGAACAACACACACACACACGCACACACACACACACACACACACACACACATACACACACTCAGGGTTGAGTGAAGTAAAACACACACAGTCACCTGGAAACAAGTGAGGTATGAATCATCCCAGGTGTTCCCTTTTAGTGTGCGTGCACGTGTGTGTGTGTGTGTGTGTGTGTGTGCGTGTGTGCACGTGTGTGTGAACGTGTGTGTGTGTGCATACATTGTCTCCGAAGCGCAGGTAGAGTTTCTGCAGGATCAGCAGGTCTCTGCAGAACATGGCCCGGGTCATGGTCATGTGACACACGGCCTGACAGACGAGAGAGACGGCGGCGCTGCTGCCGAACAGCTGAGAGAGGCTGATCCTGACACTGAGACTGTGACCTGGGTTTGATACAAACACAGACACACAGACAGACACACACAGACACACACACACACACACACACACACAGACACAGACACACACAGACACACACACACACACACACAGACACAGACACACACACACACACACAGACACACACAGACACAGACAGACACACACACACAGACACACACAGACACACACACACAGACACACACACACACACACACACACACACACACACAGACACACACACACACAGACACACACACAGACACACACACACAGACACACACACAGACACACACACACAGACACACACAGACAGACACAGACACAGACACACAGACACGCACACACACACACACAGACACACACACACACACACACACACACACACACACACACACACACACACACACACACACACACACACACACACACACACACACACACAGACACAGACACAGTCGTTATGATGGCTGTGAAGGTGACATCTTGTGAGCTATGATGTCATACAGGTGGTCAGCTGACGGTACCAGGTGTCAGGGGTCCCTCTGGGACCGGTTCCGAGTCCGTCTCCAGGTCCAGCTCCCTCAGCAGAACCATCATGGCTGCCATGGGGTTCCTGATGTCCTGCAGCTTGTTCTGGATGTCTTCGACCACGTTCTCGCTGAAGGAAGTGACATCAGCATCAGCACACGGACAGTGAAAGATAAAACAGGAAGTGACCTTCACCTGTCTGCTCTCAACCTGACGCCTTGTGACCACGGCTGCAACGATTGGACAACGCAATCGATTACGCTGATGCGAAGATAGAAGTGTCGACATGTTGTGTTATTGTTGTTGTAAAACCTAAACCAGCCACTGGGGGGCAGTATCGCTCGCTGTCTACATCCCGCAAGGAAACAGAGAATAAGAACGCACAAATGATGGCGGAACAAACAGACAAAGAGATTCGAAAACTATGACAAAAAGTTTCCGAGGTTCGGATCGTTACGCCGAACTCCTTCAACGCCGACAGCATGGCGCCGCTCAATCATCGCCGTGGGGAGGGTCACAGGTCACGTTGGTACCGCATCAATATTTTTAAATCACATGTTCGATTGTTAATTAACCATCAGCCCAGTGTGTGCGTGTGTGTGTGTGTGAGTGCGTGTGTGTGTGTCACTGACCTGTCATTGGACAGCAGGTGCTCCAGGACGAGTTCTGCCGCCCTCTCAGGTGACTGCAGGTGTTCCAGAGCTTTCTCCATCTCGTACGCCATTTCTCCAGAAACCGCATCACTGACCGCTCGCACGCACTGAACCAGCTGGAGGACGTCCCGGCCCAGCTCAGGGTCTACGCACACACACACACACACACACACACACACACACACATTAACACACACACACACACACACACATTAACACACACACACACACACACACATTAACACATTCACACACACACACACACACACACACATTAACACATTCACACACACACACACATTAACACATTCACACACACACACATTAACACACACACACTCACACACACACACACACATTAACACATTCACACACACACACACATTAACACATTCACACACACACACATTAACACATTCACACACACACACACACACACACACATTAACACATTCACACACACACACACACATTAACACATTCACACACACACACACACACACATTAACACAGTCACACACACACACACATTAACACATTCACACACACACACACACACACACACATTAACACATTCACACACACACACACATTAACACATTCACACACACACACACACACACACACACATTAACACATTCACACACACACACACACACATGTTCGGGGTCAAACGGACTTTAACATGACCCAGAAACCCTGCAGACTTCTCTGGACCTGGGCCCGGCTCAGATGGACCTAAGACCAGAACTGTCCTGAGGTCTGACTAACGTGAACCTGAACCGGAGAGTGAAGGAACAGATACTCTACCTTCAGTGAGGGGCGTGTCCTCCTCTGAGGACAGGTACTCATCAAAGGACAGGTACAGGTGATCCACGGCAAAACACGGCAGCAGGTACGACACAAACCCCTGAAACACACACACACACACACACACACACACACACACACACACACACACAGCTGTAGGTGACCATAAACAAACAGGAAACAGGAAACAGGAAGCAGGCAGAAAGGGACTGACCTTCCTCAGCAGGCAGACCAGGCCCGTGTTCTGGTTGATGGTCAGGCTCAGAGGTTCTGATTGGACCTCCTGGTACTGTAGGCAGCAGGAGTAGAACCTGGACCAGAACTCCACCTGCAGCTGACGGTACTCCTCCTGAGAGAACTCGAACTCCGTCACACTGCTCTGCAGCTACAGGTGAGGAGGGGGCGGAGCTTCAGGTTACCTTAACAACTACACACACACACAAACATTCAGCATCATGTGACTCAGGCGTTACCTCGCTCTCCACAGCCAGGGTCACTTCCTTCTTAAGCCCCTCCCATGACACGTCACACAGCCTGTCCGAGCCCCTGCGAAAGATCTAACACACACACACACACACACACAGTGTTAAAATACACACATAAACACACACAGTGTTCACTGTGTGATTGCTGCATGATGAAGTCACAGCGTGATGATGTCACAGCGTGATGATGTCACAGCAGGTGGTCTTACCTGTAGAGCTTTAAGGATGGCTGAAGCTGTAAAACGGAGAGGAGAGAAGAGGACCTCCAGGTATGTCTCCTAAAAGGGCAAAAACAAACACACACACACACACACACATACACACACACACACACAGACACACACACACACACACAGCATCACCTGTGTCAGAGTGGTTCATACCTGTGTGTGTGTTGTGTTCCTTTCTCAGTTTTCTGTGTGTCGACCTTAAAGGGATATTCTGGAGTAAAACTAACTTAGGGTCAGACCGACAGACATGAATGTTGTCGACCGCTTGTTTCTCTAGTTAAACCAACTTTAGTGAGTCGATCACAGAGTTCAGAGGATCATTTATGATCATTTCTTCATCATTTCCTTGAAGTAATAATCACCATATTAATCATTTTACAGACGCTGTAGTTCTTCTGTCTTAGCGTCTCGGTCTGATTGTATTTCCATGAAGAAATGATCATAAATGTTCTTCCTTGAGCTGCGTCACCCCGCTGTAGTCTGTAATGGACTGGCCTGAGGTCTCACTACAAACAAGCGTCTGCTGGAAGAGAGTAGGTGAGTTGTGTTTAGTCTCTTTGCTAAAGAAATGAGTCAAAGTTAAAAAGATGTTTGGTGTCTAGTACTATGTCTGTGACCCTATATGTCCTGTTGATGAAGTTAGGTGCTGTTCTGAGCATTATTTGTGGCTATAGAGTGGCGTTTTGGTTGGGGGCGTGTCTCTCTGTATTTCTATCCTGCGGTCGTTACTAAAGTTGGTATAACTAGAGAAGAAAGCGGTCGACAACA